GCCTGTTTTGAAACCATAATTTTTATAAAAAGCAGAAATGCAATGTGTTCTCTAACCTCTATGAACCTCACTTCCCCCATCCTACCAAACGGCGGGCAGGAAACAACCTGGACAGGTCACCAGTCCATTACAGGGCAGAACAGCCATGACAACATAGAGAAATGAAGGTAACACTTTATTTGAAGTACTACAAAACACGTTCATAAGCACTAAATAACAAATTTAATATATATATATATATACACACACATATATATATATATATATATATATATATATATATATATATATATATATTATGCTAGTAACTACAAGAGGACCTAAGATGTTCTATGGAGTAAATGACATTACATTGACATAAGGGACCTTACATTGACATAAGGGAGTTCCATTTATAACAATATTAAAAGCATCATTCCCAAGTAATAGAACCTAAAAGGAAGATCTAGTTTAGACGTTTATATCTATACTACAGAGTTCTATATGAGTTAAAGTACAAAACTCTTATGTCAATACAATGTCATTTTCTTCATCTGATGGTATCTTGCAATTACTGGCATAAGTTGTTCATGAATACTCAGGTATTGCTTTATAAATATGGTATTTAGTGCTTATGCATGTGTTATGACATCCTTATGTAGGTAGACTTCAAATAAAATTTTACCAAAATTTAAAAATGCTGTTGGCAGCCACGCCAGAGTAAAATGCTTTTGTTACCAAATGGGTTTTTTGTTAGGCTGTCTGAGAACATGCAATGGCTAATGCTCACACTAGCCTATCACATCAAGCAATAACATCTGTTTTCCGTGACGACCACTAAACGGCTGGAATTTTACCCATTTGTTTTGCAATTGTAATTTGTTTTTACTTCTTATGGGACCCACTAAACATGCTTGCTGATGACTAAATCAGTTTTTACTACCAAAATAACACATTGCAGTTAATTAACTAGTAAAGGTAGGATATTAGCTTCTAAATCTAAAAATCATTTTCAATTGTGAAGTTAAAAATCTCCTGCCTAGTAAAAACTACTGAGGTAAACTTCACTGAAATACATTATACAAATATAATATGAAAATATACAATATATAAGTCACTTCACAGTCAGAGTTTCTCCATGAAAAATGTTCCCCAAGATCTCTGCCAAAAATTGAACCCAGCTTAGAACACTCAATCTGCATTTATATGAGAGCTAACCAATTCATATCTTACATACAGTCGTATGCAAACATTTTGGCATCCCTGTCCCTGTTAAGTAAATACCTCTATAAAGAACACAATGCTGCATATTTTACTACACAATTACTGTTATTAGTACTTGCTGACTTTAACATATTAGGGACAAAATCAAACATATGGTACATTTTATATTTTATCTTTTATTTTTTTTCAACATGTTGAAGCATTATGCACTAAAATTCGCTGAAAAAATGTTTGTTCCCAGTAGAGAATGTAATTTGATTGGGGTGTTCAAACTTTTGTGCATGACTGTACATACGTCAGAGTTTGTGAAATATATGAAATGGTGAAATCACCCCTGTGTTGGTGAAACTGGGGGGTGTTACAGCCCACCCTGTGTTACAACTGTCCCAGATCTCCCCTACTAGAAATGCTTAGTTAGCTTTCCATTGAGATCCTCTAGGGGTGAAAAGAAAAGACAGGTTCATGTGATCTTGGGCAAATAAACCACTACAGAATGGCTCTCACATTTCAGAACGTGTCCCCCCTAATTGAATTTTAAAAATTACTGCTTTCCTTGTGTTCGTGTGTTGAGATATAATTACACTTCAAAAGAGTCTTGCACTTGTCAGCAGCTAGCGCGACCATTATTTTACAACAAACAAGCAAAGTGTGACTAAATTCCACTGGTCATTTCCAATTAATGCACTGTGATATAACCACAACTGTTCTGGAACACAGCTGAATTTTATTCGTGTTTTGTGTTTGAGCATGCACAGTACTTGAGCATGGCTGTGATAGCTCAATAAATTACCCAGTTCAACAGAATGCTCTGCCCAGAATATAGAAGAGTAAAATTTAAATACATCCTCCATCAGTAGATACGCCATATGAATCAGAATGAAGAACGCTTGCAGAATCGTAAACACCCCATCCTTTACCCAAACTAAGCATCTCTGAGAACTCTTATTATTAAAGTTAAGAATATACAGTCAGATCATTTTTCCCAGTGTGCATTTTAGACTACTGGCGATATTCCAGTCCACATATTATATTATCAAATTACACTTGTATTCATGACAGCATGATATTTCCCCTTAACAACACTCAGGGATCAGCAGAGCTGCAGGATGTGTTGTTGATTGATATCAGTTTGAGTATAAGAAATATACTCTATAATATATCATCACTGTCTGGACAAAACCTCTCCAAAATGGCAAGAAGGAAAGATTGTTCTTAGCTTATAATGGAAGTTAATGTGACAACCTTTCATTCCATGTATTTTTGAACCATTTCTATTGATCTGCTCATCATGAAATTCTAACACAATGTAAAGGACAACTGGTGTTAAAAAAACTAACAAAAATAGAGAGGCAAGGTTTTGTCCTGACAACAATGATATAAAAATTGTCCAGAACTGAAATATTAACTGTGTTGGATGTAATCACTGTGGTCAGATGTTCATGTTAAATGTTCTGACAAAACCCCCAGGCATTCGTAAGATCTAAAAACACTCAAACTGTTTTAGTTAAATCATGTTTGAACATAGAAATATGCAGCGTTGATTAATCATATGGCTTCAAATCACAGGACATGTGACCAGTTAAACTACAATTAGGACTGTGAGGTTTGCCTTCTTGATGAAGTGTGGTGATCTTGCAGTACGAAACAGATCCTGATGGACACATATTTATATACATTTTTACATATATATACAGTACGGAGTAAAAGTCAGAGACTACCCTTTCACTGAATTCCTCTTCCCCTTCCAACTTCTAAACATCTAGCGAGTACAAGTTTTTTACTTTCAGGACACATTTCTGTGGAGATTATATGAGATAATCCACTTGCATACAGACGGGAAAGGTGCAAAAAAAAAACAGGAGTTTCCAAAACTGGAGTTCAAAAAATGATTACAAGATACAGAGAAAAAACGGAATCCTGACAAACGTGCACCAAAACTGTCATAGCACTGAAAGCTTTTATCTTTCTGAGAGAGGAGAAAATCAAGCTGCTTCAGATCTGAAAAAGTCTACCGCTTCGGTCCACTGTGAAAAGACAACTGGGTCTGAAGAGCTGTGTAGCTGTCAACTAGCCGTTACTGAGAAAAGGAAACAGACAAAAAAGAATGAAATTTGCACCGACTGGACATCTGAGATGATATGAGAAGCAGAAAATGCAACCAACTTCTAAGACTGAACTTTGGAAGTCTACTGAAAACAACAGAAGCTGTGCTGAAGGTAAAAGGTGGACACACTAAATACTGAAAAATGTCTTTAGTTGTGGAGGCTTCTGTGTAATTTTTTTGAATATGTTTTCTTCTTCATTTTTAGCTGAAAAATGAATATCTTCATGGCTGTTTTGACTGGAAATCAAATAAATGTAAGGGTGGTTTGTGACTTTCACATAGTACTGCATGTACTAAGATACATTTTTGCCACATTAAATATACATATATTTTTAATGAAATCTCTATATCTTTAAAGATCTTGCATGGTTTGTTCTACTTATTTTTTTTCTCTTTGGTGATTAATCAAAAAATTAATAGATTATTAATTTCCTAATGTAACTGATAGTGACAGTCCTAATTGCAATCACAAGGCAAGATTCTGTCTGTGTTGTTCAGCCCTCTTGGTCTCTTGATTCAACCCATTAACGCTGCATTATGTTAAAGCATCAGATTTCTTCAGAGAGGGAGAAATGTTCACACAACAAGACTTCCTGCAGAGCACAACTTCATAATCTAATAACTCACAGCACCACAAACAATCTGTTATCACCACTGAACGAAATAATTAGGAACTTGTCTTTAGGGGAAAGAAGCTCTTTTTCACTGCAACAGCAAAAGAACCCTGTAACCCAGTATATTCAAATATGTACAAAGCCTTGAGAACTTGAATAACAGACGTATTTGTTTCTTTCTTTAGAAAAACAAACAAACACAAAAAAAACAACAGAAGCAAACAAAAAAGTGCATGCAGGGAGTTGTTTTCAGTTCAACGGAAATGCACGAGAATGAAAATGAGAAAAAACAACTGACTCTCACTGAATATTTTCAGTGCACGGCTAAAGTTGATTTCTAAGTGCATTTCTGCCATGGACTACGTAACTGATCATTTCTTGCCATTATCTTCCTTAAGTGCGGTGGTCAGATCACGCCATGAGCCATTTTGGCATTTAAAACAACTTGGTAAAGAGGTTTGTTTGTTTTGCGCCTTTTCAAATTTTTAGTCTTTGGGGGAGAAGTGGAAAAAGCAAATCTGTTAAGCATGTATGCTGCATTTTATGAGCTGTACGCCGGTGTCCTGTTTAAAACAGGTTGGTCAATAAAGCTATGCCATCCTATCACTTGTGTAAGACAGTATAGTAAAAAAGCACCTGTGGTTTCTGTGGCAACATCCACGATCTGCAGTGGGGCTGCATGATATATTGTTTGTTAATCATTACAGCAATAATAGCCTCCACTATCATCACTGTTGGGACAAAACCTTGATTACAATTTTTTTTATTTTTTGACAATTTAAAACGTCAGCTGCTCTTTAAATTGTGGTAATATTTCATGATGAATGGAGTGGTAGAAATGTTTTCATTCAAAGTTAAGAAAGCTACCTTTTTGGAAATATGAAGTTTTGTCCCAACTGCAGTGCTATAGTGACTAGAGGTGGGAAAAAATATGTCAAAAATATAATACTGCGATTCTCATAAATTTTCACGATATACGATATGACAATATATATTTTTTTAAACATCTGATCATTTGGAACAGAGAAAGAATAACCAGTACAGCTAAATTTTAAACAAATACTATCAAATGTGTGAATACCATGATTTTTACACAGTGTTACTCTAAATCCAGTTAACAAGGACTAATTTTGCTCTCTCATAATAAAACATGCAGTTGGCCGGTGTTCTACAAATATTGATGCTATCTGTGATATGTTCCAAAAAGCTTATTGCATTGTATTATGACATAATTTATGACGATGATGATATATATTGCCATATTGCCCATCCCTAATACTTACACTGCAAATGAGTTCTCTAACCAAACATTCAATGTTTCAAAGATATATTTTTGATGTTTGGATGAATCAAGTAATTCACAAGATCCAACAAATATAACATTATGTAGATTTTAAGAAATAGTAGGCGAATCCTTAACTGCTTTACAGGTTTGCTAATCTGTTTTCCGTATATTTGGAAGGTATATTGCTATCACAAAATGTGGCAGCATAATTGCAAGATGATATTTAGTTCATATCGTGCAGCCCTGATTGATATATTGAACTACTGCCTTAATTCACCCCTCTAAACTCACCCTTTCCATACAGACAGTGATAAATAGCTCCATGTGGGAATATATTTATCTGGGAAAATGTTTCCTTTTTTGTTTTTTTTTTTAACCATTCAATATTTATTGCAATGTAACTTTTCCCTAATATCGTTCAAGTGAAAAAAGCAAAGCTGCTAGACAAGTTTCCTGAATTATATAAGCTGTGATGAGATGTTGTTCTGTTCACAATGATTGGTCAATAAAGCTATGGCATTCTGTCACTGGTGAAGGACAGCCTAGTTAAAAAGCCAGTGAGGCACATGTAGACAGTATGCATGATGTGCACACAACCACTGTGATGAGGTAAATGACCCACAATGCATATTTTTTCTCTTCACATGACAGAGGTCGGACAAACATGTGTAACAACACTGCCTGTCTTCTGTTATAACGGTAGCTTAAGGGTGGAGGCAGTCACGGCTGTTCTGTGACTAGAACATCGAGTCTCATTGTTTTCTTCAAAATATTCAGCAGAACTCTGACTGGCCTCAGGTCAGTGAGGCTGCAAGAGGGGCAGTGTGCCTGGTTCTCTGGAGTCGTACTCCTGGATGAACTGCTCCATGGCCTCCACGCAGCGCAGGCCAATCTCTCGCAGGTTCTCTCTCAAGGACGACTGGATGGGCCTCTCCAGGGACGGGTCCTTCGCTACCAGCATCTTCACCACGACACCAAATGTGTCACAGTCACGCCGATACACCTGCACGACACACACACACGCTCATGTTCATGTGTACTCACAGTGAATTTGAGCTAGATATTAGGAATGAAAAGCGTTATCACAGTAGCTTCACAATGTATCCATGTGACACTCCAACAATTACTATGAAATATCTTATTTACACTTTGTTGCTCACAAGTTATTCATTTTTCAGTTTCAAAAAAAGCATCATATATTCATCCATACTTCACTTTTATGTACCCTACTGCCACTTTAACTCTTCCATCCTTCCATAAAACTGAGTTATAGCTGTGTCCTCCCAACATAAATTGTTCCCAAAGCTGTCACTGATATTATATTCCCCCTTAACCTTCTAACTGTCGCACCATTTTTGCCTTGAATGGCATACCCAAAGTAAAAGCCCACATACTTTGGGCCACAGTCATGATCTTTGTCTCAATTGAAAGGTAACACTCTCACATTTTTCCCCAACCATCAGAATAATTATATAAATGAATGACTGAGGCTAGAATGGAGGAGTTGATTTCCGCCTAACTCATAGATCTCTAAACTGATATCTGACTCTTGCTGTGTTATCAAACCACGTTTGGATGTTTTTGATGTCTTTAGGAATGGCAGCAAGGCATTGAAGGAAAGGGCCCAAATATATGCAAGTGTTTGCTCATTCGGTGCCTATGTTGCAAATGAGACGATCGTTACTGCTGTGAATAACGGATCATAAATTGGTTTGCAGTAATCGAATCCTGAGATTTCGAGCTGTCTAACGGTATATTGAATCACCATATTGCTGAAAGCATGCATAAAAAATGGCATAAAAATTATGTATAAAAAATGGAAGGGAACTACTGAACAGTGATCTAGAAAAGGTTAACTAATACCAACATTCACACAAGCAACTACCCAAACACGCCTCAGCTGCCTTACAAATGTGCATCTACAATGGCTCGTAGATATTTTTCAACTTTCCAAAACTAAAGTTCAAAAACTTTTTTAAAATGAGACTCATAATAACCATGCAAGACCAGGTAGACCACCAACCTTGTCGCCATCAGATAAACAGCACTTCAAGCTTTCATCTTTGAGAGAGAAGAGAAAATCAAACTCCACTCTTCAGATCTGAACAAATACACAGTGTCTGTCTATCCTTCCACTGTGAGAACTCAACACTATGGGTTTGCAAGGCTGTTTAGCTGTCAAGAAGCTGTTTCTGAGAAAAGGATGAGGATAATCTGCACTAGAAGACAGAAACTGATCATCTGAGATGTGGAGTAGGATTTTATGGTCTTATGAGTCTACATTTGTGATTGGGATTAATTGGATTGTGAGAAGCAGAAAATGCAACCAACTCCTACAAATGAAATTTGGAGGTGTGAAAAATCTCCCTGCAGATTTCTGTGAGAAACTGAAAGCAAATCTCCTGACATTAATGGAAGCTGTAATAAAGGCAAGGAATGGACAGTCTTTAGAAAAAACTACATTTAGTTGTTGAGGCCTCAGCTTTTTCCTTAAGCTGAAAAATGAATAGCTTAATTGCCATTTTGACTGGACACTGAATTATTAAAGGGTGGTCTCTGACTTTAATATTAACAAAAAAATATATGCACTGTTGTAACAAAACCTTATGTCCCTAAATTGACTTTCGAGGAGAAGGAAAGTGTGACAAGATCTTATTCAAGGACCATTTCTATTGGTCCATTCAGCATGAAATGTTGTAAAATGTAATAGGCAACGTAAAAGGCAGCTGACATCTTTAAAAATGGTAAAATGAAGCAAAAAACTGACAAGGTTTTGTTATAACAGTGATGTTGCAAATATTTCATTAGCTTATTTAATACAAAAAACTTCATATACATATACAACTATAATCATGAAGATGATGGCTAACACATCCTCTGCAGTATAGCAGCAAATTAATTAAACTGTTTTTTAACTGTAGTTCTAAAACCACATGTATTTGAACAGTGAAAGTTTTTATAACTCTATTAAAGGTCCTTGTGAATCTTTAATTGCTGAATCTTTTACAGTTAAGAACTGTGTGGGTCAAGTTGGGGTAAAATTATTCCACACAAACCAAATTACTAATACAACTGCCTTCTTTTCTTTCCATTACTGTAAGAAACATGTTCACATCGTTGACAAGAATACCATTCAGTTACTCTAACGAGCATGTCAGCCATCAATAATATGCCACACAGCCCGACTAAAAATATATCCATGCACACAAGAAGCTCAAATATACAATGGAGAGAATTAAGACATGCCGAGGAAAGCATATGGCCATCTGTACACAAATTGGGACTAAATGAAACCAAGCAATGCAGTAGCATTCATGGCAGCCCATAGCATTACTCACTAAACATGATTATTAGTTCAATTATTAACTTATCCATGCTGCCTTTGCAGAGTGGCAGTAAAAGTGCACTCTGTTTATAGTTGCTGCACAACACTGAGTTGCCAGTCTAAAATGATAAGCAGGACTATTGCTATGTTCACATTACCAGGTTGAAGTGGCATAAATCCGTTTTCTGCCCTAATGTGACTAATGTGACTCAGATCTGATGTTTTCAGGCTGTGTGGACTCGCAAATCTTTTCAAATCCGACCAGAGCCACTTTTATATGTGGTCCTAGTTTGCATACCTATCCGGTTCATGGCCATGCAACCTTAATGTGAACGCTCAGATTGGAATTCATGTGCTTTTTTTGCACTGTGCGTGTGCCATCATTCAGCGTTACCATGGTAGCAGCGCAGATCAGAAGTTAAAGCCTGTATACGGTGGAAAAGCAACACATCTCACCTTTTTCTGCTTCATCTCGCTCTAATAATGAACAGCTGAGAGCTGATCAGAGGCTCGTTCTGACCGTTAGTTTGTTTGCTGATGATGCACGTGATTCATTTACGTGACATTACTGAGTAGGATGTGCGCATGCAAGTCGTTTCAGGACGCCGGTTCGTTCACAATAATGACAGATTTGAGTCGCTTACCTAAACGAGTGTGAACCATCATGTCAGAGAGATCGTATCGGCCTGTAATGTGAACGTAGCCTATGACACTGTAGCTAATCAAAACTATGCAGCTTGGAAACGATGACGAATTTGCCAGCATGCTAGGCTTGACTATAAAAATATACACCCAATCTATCCTAACAGTGTGACCATTCACATGCAATTAATGAAATAAAATATCACTGGAATTTAATTAAATATCACTGGAAAGGAGTAATACTCTTATATTGATGGACTTGGACTCTCCTGAGTATTTTCGCATCATAATACTTTTACTTCTATTTAAGTAGATTTACTCAGGTAAATGTCCTTAAGTAAAATATTGATGCACTTGGACTCCTGTTTATTTCGAATCATAATACTTTTACATCTACTACACCTACTTAAGTATATAAGTACCCCATTCATATTTCAATACTAATTTCATTTCAAACATCTGTACTGCTTTGAGATTGTTCACACCTTTTACTATAGAGCTTTTTAAAAGAGAAAAACAAGTTTAACAAACTTCAGTTCCTATGCTAACTGGATTCACAAAGACATTTTCTAAGTTATCCAGTTCTCTGTGCTTCTATTTAAGTTGTTCTTTAACTTTTTCTTGAGTCATTCTACTTTTACCTAAGTATGGGTTTACTCTACCCACATCAGTGTCCAGCCTAGCAACAGTTGTTATGAAAGAATGGATTTGTGGGTGGAGCATGGCTAAGTCAAATGCTATTATACAAGTACCAGTAAGCGCTTTGAGTCTGTTGCCTCTACATTGTAAATATGGTCTGATTACACGGGTCCCACACATACAGCTTTCATCCACTGCTGCAAAGGGTAATTCAGTTAGGCCCATTTCGCCGTTCACATGGGTCCATGTACAGGCCTGGAGGACCAAAGCCCTACAAAGCTTCTCGCTTTCCCAGTTCAACTAAACGGCTAGTTAGCAAGGGCTTCATGAGCTGAATCATGATCACTCTGGATCATGTTCTGGTCAGCTCTCTTTGGAATGGTCACATTCTCATTTAGGAAAACATTTGCTCCACAGTGAACAGATTCCATCTCTCCAAACGTATTCATCTCTAAGCAGACAGACAGGCTAAAGATATCTCGCACCTCACTCAATTACGTGTAAGGAATGCTGGGAGTCAGCACTCTAGAGACCAAGGAGCAAAGAGAAGGAGTGTGAAAATGTGCGAGACATGCACACACACACACACACACACACACACACACACTCACGCACACACACACACTCACAGGCACATAAACACAAATTACTAATTCATAAGGATTACTGTTTGACCTTTCCGACACTTTCACACTTCCAGTGAATGCAAACACTCTGTCTCTCTCTGTCTCTCTGAAGAGCACATACCCTAAAACCACTTTATATAACAAATACACTACAGTGTAAGAAAAAAAGGTACTTCAACTTAGAAACTCATGCCTCCCTGCTGCCTTTGCAGGTGTAATTAACATGGATTTATCATTTCAACACCTTATTTTCAGATGAGTTAAAACACACTACTTGCCAGTTTATTAGGTTCATTCATATGCAAATGTTTTCATACCCCTGATCAAATTACATGTCAGTTTTCTAACACATCCTCTACGGGGAACATAACCAACTTACAATATGCACGTTTTAGTGCACAATTTCTGTTTATTTCTTGAGTTTAACATAGATAAAAAAAATTAGATGTCAAACCTAATGTGCCAATAACTTTAGCATGGGCCACATTTTATGCCCCCTCAGATAAAATATATATGTGTACTTATTTTTACTTAGAAAATCAACTAAATGAGAGTTCAGAGATATATGAAAGGTTTTCCTGAGTTTTTTTGAAAAGAGGGAGACTGCTGACTTTAATGACTGATTATTTAATGATCTTATTTTGCTATTGTGTAAATGTAACCAGCCTAAAGAGGAACAGTATAAAAGATGTTTCCACAGTACCTTTCTGTGGATAATAGTATGGTTCTCCACATTTGTATTCTTTTTGTTAAACGATAAATTGTTTTTATAATAATTATATAAAGTCCTTCTATTAAAATATTTGAAAAGCCAATAAAAAATTGTCAACATGAAACTCAATAAAGCATGCAATTTGACAAGGGGCGCCCAAACTTTTGCATTGACTCTATGGTTGGACAATATCATATGTTATTATTATCACGATAAATTATGTCACATATGTATACATTTTTCCAGGCATATCATGGATGTTATCAGTATTTATAGATCAACTGCAGGATTTATTAAAAAAGGGTCAAGTGTAGCTGTCTAAGGTGTTTATAATTTGCCTTGCTTAACTCGATGCAGTGCTGTGCACTTTATACTTAACTGACAGTTTGAGTACTTTCTCAAAATTCTACTCAATTAATAGTGGAAATGTGGAGACAAAGTAAAAAAGTATCTACATGTAAACACACTCAAGTATATAAAACACAAATATTAATGGTTTTCTTTATTTGGTGGCATATGATGCACTGAACTAATGGGTGGTCAATACATGAGGATGAATAGCAAAGCTGTGGGCAATATTATTTTACACTGATCTCAGTTTTATTAAATGTTCTGTTAATATTATCTGTCTGTACACCTATTTATTAGGGTATTGTACCCACCATCATTAGCCATTTAATCAGAAACACCTAACACATAAGTGCACTTTGTAGGTTCACAGTTACTGACTGCAGCCCATCTGTTGACACGCAATTTATCACCCTCTGCCCTGTCCATCAGTGGAAAGAGAGCACCATAGGGCCACCTCTGACCAGATGTTATCTGGGTGATGAAACATTCACTGACATTGTAGAGGCATGGTAGTGTGTTTGGCGATGGTACAAATGTATCAGGCACAGCAGTGTTGCTGAAGCTTTTACAAAACTCAGTGTCACTGCTGGACTGTGAAATAGTTTAGCAACCAAAACTCCAAAACTATCCGGCCAACAGCATCCAGCGGTGAGACACTGACCACTGATGAAGGTCTAGATGACCAACACAAAGTGTCCCGTAATGGATGAGCTATTATCTCTGACTTTACATCTACAAGGAGTATCAATGAAATATGTCTTTCTGATAAAGTGGCCAGCACTCTGCAAAAGTCAGAGACAACCTTATATTTACTTAATCTCCAGTCAAAACTGCCTTTCATCATTTTTCAGGAGATCTTTCTTAGGAGAGCAAATATAAGATAATCCACTTGCATAAGGAATTTGCATTTGACTCTCTTCAACCGTGCAAGAGCTGGTAGACCACCAAACCCGTCTCCATCAGATAAACAGTACTTAAAGCTTTCATCTTTGAGAGAGAGGAAAAAAATCAAGCTCTAATCTTCATATCTGAAAAAATCCACAGGTGTTTCTGTCCATCCTTCCACTGAGAGAAGACACCTCAGTGCTATGGGCTTGAAAGGATGTGTAGCTGTCAAGAAGCTGTTACTGAGAAAAGAAAACAGATAAAACTGAGGAAAATTTGCAAATCAAACAAATAAGCTGTGAGTACTCACATCTCAAATCCCAAACCTCAAAAATAGCTGAATGTGTTTGGGATTACTTTGATTGTGAAAAGCAGGAAATGCAACCAACTTCTAAGACTGAACTTTGGAGGTGTAAAAAAAATCCTTGCGGCTTTCTTTGAAAAACTGAAAGCAGGTCTTCTGAAAATAAGTGAAAAAATGTATTAAAAATTGATATTATACTTATAATATACTTATACTTAGTTGTCTGTTTGTTGTAGTTTGTTGTGACTTCTATGTGATTCAGTTTTTTTACTGGCAGTGAAAATTATTAACATAATAGCTATTTTGACTGGAAATGAAATAAATGAAATGGTGGTCTCTGACTTTTGCACAGTACTGTACATATTGAGAACACATACTGAATATAGTGAACATCCACACTAAACATAAACCGTGAAAATAAACCCCACATTCTCTCAGACACACACACTCACACACACACACTCACCCACCCTCATCAGTGCAGCCAGGAGTGGTATGAGACCCTATTTTTATCTATTTGTTTTTGCCTGCTATGATGTTTGATCAGTGTTACATAAAAGCATTACATAGTGGGTTACATAAAACACCACTGAATGGTGCAATCCACTGTCAATCAATGGAACATTTCTGCAATTTTCTCAATAAGTAATCCTTGAGCTTTGTCCTCTTGATTGTACCCACAAATGTATACCGGTGTGCTGTACTATCATCTACCTGCTACCAGATCACTTCAAAACAGCCCCTCTACCTGACCTGCGGGAACCAGTGAGGGACCACTGGAGGACTTTGTGTGTATACGAGTGTATCTCTGTGTGTGTATATATGAGTGTGTGTGTGTGTTTTGTGCAGAATCTACCTGCTACCAGATCACTTCAAAACAGCACCTACTGTCTGCCTTGCGGTAACCATAGAGATTGGACTACCGAAAGAGCGAGAAAGAGGGAATGTGTGTGTGTGTGTAGCATAATTTTCATTCTGCTATCTGAGTCATACCCCCGTGTGCTCTGCTTGCTGTTCACCAGAGCAAAATAAAAAAGCTGTGCTGCAGGATCGACTAGCAAGGCCAAAACTCTCTCTCCAGCTCGCCAAGGTGAGCGTTCGACACGCTGAGGGTTGACAAAACTGCCGCTGATTTGCGCTAATAAAAGTTTTCTGTGTCAAATTGGCTCGGTGTTTTCATTTTTACAATAAACGCCATTGTTCTCCACACCGCCTCTCTCTTTCTCTCTCTCTCTCTCTTCTTTCTCTGTCTCTATCTCTATCACAAATGTTTACCTCCTCTATCTCCTCTCTCTTTTTCTGGATGGCTCTGTTTCTTGCAGCTGCGCGGGTGACCGAGGAGGGAGCTTCTCTACTGCAGCACATCTGCCCTTCCTGAGTAACCTGAGAGAGAGGGAGAGAGAGCGAGAGAGAGAGAGAGAGATAGAGAGGGAGAGCAAGAGAGGAACAGAAGAAGAGTGGGAGAGATAGACAGAGAGAGAGAGAGAGAGAGAGAGAGAGAGAGAGAGAGAGAGTGAGAAATAGAGACAAAGGCAGAAAGAGAGGGGTAAGAGAAAGGGAGGGAGAGAGAGAAAAGAGAGAGATAAAAAGAAGGAGGATGTGAGACAGAGAGAGAGAGAACAAAGAGTGAGATAGAGTGAGAAATAGAAGCAGAGAAAGAGAAGGAGAGTGAAAGAAAAAGAGAAACAGAGAGAGAGTGAGAGAGAAGGAAAGTGATAGAAAATCAACAAGGAACAGGAAGAGAAAAGGAGAAAAAAGAGAGAGAACAAGGGAAAGGTGGAAGAGAGAGAAAGAGCAAGAAAGACAGAGAAAGAGAGGGAGAGATAGAGAGGGAAAGCGAGAGAGGAAAAGAAGAGTGGGAGAGGAAGAGAAATAGAGATGAATGCAGAAAAAGAGCAAAAGAGAGAAATAGAGAGAGGAGTAAGAGAAAGGGAGGGAGAGAGACAGAAGAGAGAGAGATAAAAAGAGGGAGGATGAGACAGAGAGAACAAAGAGTGAGACAGAGTAAGAAATAGAAGAAGAAGAAGAAGAAGAGAGAGAGAGAGAGAGAGAGAGAGAAAGAGGGAAAACAAGGAATAGAGGAAAAGAACGAGAAAGGGAGAGAACAAGGAACAGAGGAAGGGAGAGAAAGAGAGAAAAAGGTGAGAAACGGAATAAGGCAAAGACAGAGAGAGAGAGAGAGAGAGAGAGAGAGAGAGAAAGAGGGAGAGAGAAAAGGTTAGACATGGTGACCAGGTCAAATCTTTAAATCAGTATATACTGATGTGGTAAATATTTGGTCTCTGTTCAAATGTGTTTACCAAAGGTCTTTTTGAAGCTTTGGGCTTCAACTGAATTATTCTGATTATGATTATGATTATAACACAATAATAATCCATTATTAAACCACTCTGTGTAAATGCCATGTTAGCAAATACTGAGCTTTCGCATTTGTAATGCCACAAACACTGACTATTACACATGACTTGCCTTCAGGGGTCTTTCAGGTTATGTGCTCCATAAGAAAAAGCAAAACGGCCTTTCTGCTAAAATATCAGACCCTAAGACACGCTTCAGCTCTTAACCCCTTAAACCGCAGGCTTAGTATCCATTTATTAATCTGACCAGTATTAAGTAACTATCATGACTTACTAGTTATGAAGCCACTGCTATAAACCTACTGTAAGTGAAAGTGAGGAATGGACACCTGGACCTGCTGACAGGTCTGTGTAGTTAAAACGCATTTATTAATGAAACGCTCTAGACAATTTTGCCTGGAACACTTCAAAATGTTTATATTTGCATGATAAATGCAGCAGGATCACTGTATGACATCATCTGTTTACGTACATTGAACCCACGCTTTGGGCAGCTTTTTCTTGCTGCATCTAGGTGTCATGCGGTTCAAACCATCTCAAACACCAGAGCTGTCTGTATAACTCAGAGACTGTGAAAGGGCTGTGGATGAAGCGTGGGTGCAATGTATAGAGTCGGGGTCTCCACAGCAGACATCATTCAGTGATGCATCTCTGTTATACAATGTTTTGCTGACAGAATCAAAGTTTCAGGTGAATCTCAATGCTTTCTCAAAAGAGAGAATTAAGATAACCTTCATTCTTTCTTTACTCACACTTGCCTCCAATTGCATTATGTTGTCCAGTAATCTCAGACAGACTTGCTTGTGTGGTTTCCTACACTGTATGACATACTGTTATCCATAAAAATGTACAAAAGCATGCAGCATAGCTAAAACAGTATTAGCAACCACCTGGAAGCCTGAATTTACTGTACTTTGGACCATTTTTAACAGGATGCCGTACAGTGTCAGAAACCACATAAGCAAGTCTATTTTAAGTTACCTATTAAAAAAAGTTAATTACAGTATATTATTGATAATAGTTAATCAAGGGCGTAACTTTGGGTTTGGTTGAACACTGGAGGGGTCGAACAGGACCTTCTTTGGGAGAATCATATAATATAAACATTAAACGCACTGCCTTTTCAGGTTGGAATCCTTGAGTTGGGATTAGATCATTAGATTTGTTTTGTATGTTTTTTATGTGGCATTTAATATGGTTAGATAAAAAAAAAAACTTTTTACGTGATACAGGAGGATATATTAACACTACTCAGAAGTCCAACCATAATCACTTATTCCTGCTGGGTTTGATAGTGATAAAATGCTGATATTACTGCTTGTATGTATAAATTACTAAAAATGTTTTTTTTTTCCCAGATGTTTTACTACCTTGAACTACACAGAAGTTCATTATGTTTTATTTTAGCTGTAAAAAATCCTGGATCTAATATCTAATATCTTGCCATTTGTGCCTTTTCTGATTGCTCTATGAGTGAGATAAAAAATTCAATTATAAATGGTCAGGCCTGCTGTTTAGTTTTCATCAGTATTTTTCATATCAATTTTATTAATAGTGACACTTCTATAGGAGCATTTATTATATCAGTAAATTCCATATTTTTATCATGTTTTATAACCAAATTAGTATTATCAAAAAGAACTACTGAAGGTGTTACATAACCAAGCTACAATTATCTATGCGGTTATTAAATTTCATTCCTCTTTGAAATACTATAATATTGAATCATAACTTGTCTGTAAATTAGAATTCCTGAAATGCTGAATAAAGTATATAGTTAGTATAAAATCTATAGTTATATAAATATACATGTACAATATTTAGTTGAATAAAACATATAGTGATTAGATTATTTCAGTCCACAGCGTATACATTATTATTGCATATAAAACAACAAAGCTTGTCATTTTCAAGTGATTCTTAATTTTTAAACGCTAGTGTATATAAACCTCACAGCTCCAGCGCAAAACCGCTCACACTCTGACTTGTCTTGGCTGATCAACTACATTTGGGGTGTTGGGGGGTGGGGGGGCCTAGGTAAATGAACTTTTTCACAGAACTCTTCCTTTAAGGAGAATGGGAACCTTTGGGGCCTTCACCTCCATACGCAATGCATGCACAGAATAGAGTGACCAACTGGCTCCAGGTCAGTGGTTTTACAATGTAAGGGAAATGAAGAGAGTCTCTGGTCTCTTACTGTGAATGACATCACTGGTCTTTCAGAGGCCACAGAGGATGACCGTGAACGATCTGTAGAGAGAGAGAGACAGAGAGAGAGAGAGAAGCATTTTAACATTTAAAGTCATTGGTGAAATCAACACAGTGTACAACATACACACAGTCTCTAGAGATGGTGACACCAGGGCTGGTCCAAACAGCATTTTACAGTGAAATTTTTAGTAGCTCCAGGCACTTTTGCAGCCTCAGTTGGTATTAAGGCTGTGATTGTAACCCTTACTCTTAAATTTTTATGAGTTATGAAGATGCTAAAGGTGTTATAAATTAGAATAATTGCTTTAATCATCACTATCACGGTTTTAGTTTGTTGTAGTAGTTACTTTTATTTATTTTTGTTGCTTTTATTTATTTGATTTTATTTGTTTATTGCATTATTTTATTTGGCTATTTCGCCATCTTTTCTTTGTTATGGAGAACAGCACTGAGGGCCACACACAGGCCAAGCTGAGTCGAGCAACCAAGAGTCGAGCAGAGAAATGATGAGTTTTTGGAGCTGATAGGCCCTAAAAGTTGTTTGGCAGAAGCGACGGCAGCATCAGCAGCGTTCCCCGCCTCATCCACTGCCAGAACTCAGCACAACAAAGTGTTTCTGAGGCTCTGAGCTCCCCACTTTTAGTGTCACCCTCACCAGAGCCTGGTGGTACTCACATCAGTCTCACTATAACTGACATTTTTGAGTTGATCAATCAGATTTGTCATGACTTCACGGTATACTAACCTCTACCGTAAAAATTGCACCGAGCATTTTTCGTACAAATTAAAGTTCTCTCACATGTGATTTCTCAGGCATCTTTACTCTTTTAGCTTTAATGGCCACATGGAAAGTGGTGATGAAGCCTTGGAATACTATAAATAGTTTTGAATACCAGCGTAACAAACAAATGCAAATGATTTGGGCCGCTGTACATGATACGAACACTGATATTTCTTCTTTAAAAACCACTAAGCTTTAAAATGAGCTATGTTTAACTGAAGCACTTCACTTAAGAGGAACATCTAAAAGTAGGCTACCATGCTCAAACTATTCACACACTCTACTAACCCACAGGAAGAGCTAACATCATCACACAATGTGAGTGAGTGCTATTTCTGGACAGGTTTGTTACACGGTTTAATCGGTTTAATTATCTTTATTTCTCTGATATCCAATCACCACTACTTTACAATTATCAGCATTACATATAAGCACTGAGAAGACACATGTAGGTTCACTGCTTGTTTGGATGGTAAATAAAATGGCTTTATTTGTGCTGTAGACATGGCGACCCCTGTCACCAAATGAGTTTTTAAGTTTCTCTGCAATGAACCATTTCACATAGGATGTGAAAAATCACTGAAATTCCCCTTTAAAATGAAGAACTGAATATTAAGTTTGTAGTTGAAGGGGTTAAATGGGTTAAAAGGTAAGGGAGGTAACTAAGGCCATGGGCTTCTTTAAGAAAACCTGCAGGGTGTGATTTGGAGAATCTGCCTCGCAACATTTGAGTGCTTGGACTGCTTGCTATATACTGGCTCTCTGCCTGGATGCTTAAATTCTCTCTCTCTCTCTCTCTCTCTCTCTCTCTCTCTCTCTCTTGCTCTCACTCTCTCACATACACACAAAAACACCTTCGTTTCTCTCCCACTCACATACACAAAATATTCGCTCATGCTCTCTCTCGCGCACACACACACACATACGGCACAAAAGCAATGACTCACCCTCATCTCCGCATATCTCACAGGCACAACGAGCAAACGAGCGATGGAAAGAGGAAGGCAGAGAGAGAAAAGGGACGAGAGAAAGAAAGAGGGAGAGGAACCTACACGAGATGGCATCTAATCAGCCCCGTCGCCATTTCCACACACAAACACACTCACCGAAGGCACAGCACACGCTAGATAGAGATACACACTCCCTACACAACTGTGTAGTCACCAAATATATGACACAGACATTAACTACACTATTTTCCTATTTATTAGGTACACTCTCCACCGTCACACACGTCACATGACTGCAGTAATTATAAGTGCGTTTTGAGTCAGGTTTTCTGTTCGTTTGTAGGTATGGGGGAAAGTATCTAAAACAGTGTCCATGGTAAGAAACCACAGATGCAGGACATAAATTAGGCTGAAAAATCCTGGAATATTCTTTTAAAGGAGAACTCCACCGATTTTTTACAATTTATGCATAATTAAATGGTTAACATGTCAAAAAAATTATTCCGAGTGGTTTGGTGTGAAATGCTACAGAGTCAGAACTGTTTACAGTGGTGGTGATAGGAACCAGACGTCTTGAGGAGATTAACGCCTCTAAAAGCTTCCTCACAGAAAGCTATTGCATAAAATGCTGATGAATACATTGCCTGATGTCTGAGATGTTGTTTTACAGTAGTTTTGTGATAAAGTTTTAATCTAAAACATATTTTAATCAATTTAATTGTTAACTCAGAAGACACATGTAGGTTCACTAGTGGTTTTGGACAGCAAATAAAATGGCTATATTTCACTGCTGTTGGAAGAAAACCTTGTTTTTCTGTTTTTGACATGATTTGAAAATGCCTGTTGCCCTTTACGTTGTGTGTAAATTTCATGAAGAATGGACCAAAAGAAGCAGCCCAAAATGACTTGGAAAAAAGTCTGGTTCCATTAACTTACATTAAAAGTAAAGTAGCTTTCCTTTTCCTGTAAAGTTAGCATTTTGGAGATGCGAGGTTTTCTTCTGACAACAGCGATATGCATTGTAGACATGAGAACTCCTGGTTCCTTTCATCACCACTGTAAAGAAATCTTAGTCGGTAAGCTTCTCTGCAAATGAATCTTTCAACATCAAACCACTCTGAAGGACTTTGCTTACGTCTCAACCACTGGATTATACAGAAATTTTGAAAAATCCCCTTTAGTTCCCCTTTAGATTACACATCTTTTAAGAAACCTTTTATGGTATCGCTCCAAAGAACCCTTCTGCAGGAGGGTACTTAAAAATTTGTCAATAGCTGAGTTCCTGCACATTATTTTTATTTTTCCTTATACATTTATATCAGTGTAAAATGAAACTGTACATAACTATGCTAATTCATCTTTTTGCAAGGAACAGTACTGACCATTTTACTTTTACATTTACTTTAATATACTTCAGTATCTTGATCTTTTTTGCTTTCAATCAAGTATATATTATTTACCCAATTTTCTAGTCATAGTCAACCCCACTCATTAGCCAGGTCTCCTCCATCACACAACACTACCAAGTTGGGAGGGTGAAGGCAAAACGTCAGCCAATATATCTTTTCAAATTGCTCCAAACACGTCATTGGGCAACTCAACAGGCTTGGAGGAGAATGCTAACTCCCAACTCTGTTGGGTGATGATTGTAGAGATTGTACCCAGCCAGAGAGAGAGAGAGAGAGGCCAGTAATGCTCTTTTGGACTCCCAGTTAGTCAGTTTCACCCCATGTGATCATGTGCCATCATTGTGAGGACTCGTGGAATGTTTTTCTAGCACATTAGAGTCCCTAAAATCCACTGGAAAGCATCTGAACATCATGAAATATCTGAACATAACTGCTGTTTGACAAAGTCATCTCTTCATGGCTACAGTTTGTCCACACTGGATGGACACTTGAATGTTAATGCACCAGGTCACAGGGAACATATCATTAACATACAGTCACAAAGACAGTGAGGCAGGCAAATTAATGCCAAAGTAGGTGCAACATGACACTAGAGGGGCTTAAATAATGAACTGTTAATTTAGTGGATATGCGTAAAATCTAAAATGGGTTTTTATGACCAATTCTACATGGTTTTATGTCAGTAGTCCCTCGTCCAGGTTCGCTTCTATTCATAAACCAGACATAGTAAGGTAACAAGCCACAAGCACCACTGATGCAAGGCTGCGGCACAATTTTACAAATCAAATTATGTTATTTATTACCTAGGAACATTGGAAGAAATAATACTATCTATATCAATAATACCATTTCAACTCACAAATTCAAACGGCATGTGTTAATGTCTACTTTTTTTCAAACAGATAGGCTGCAAAACAAACATGGATACACACTTAGATATATATGCATGACTGTCATCTAGTCTTTCATTATTGGTCACAGTCTGACTACATTACTATTTTTGACTATTTTTTGTTGGCCGACAATTCTGGATTAGTTTAATATGCAGTCGTACACATTTTGTTGATTTTCTACGTGAAAATAAGTACACATGTCCTACAGAGAAGAAACTACAAATTTTAGTTTAATTTGAGTTTAACATCTAGAAATGCATAAAATATGAAATATAAAATACAAAATGTTCCATAACTTTTGCACAGGCCTCATTTTATGTTTAAATTTCTTTTCCAAATATGTTCACTTCAGCAAATGAATAGTAATTGTGCATTAAAATGTGCAAAACAGCGCTCTCTGCAGAGGTTGTGTTAACTTACTTTCACTTAGAAAATCCACATAACATACAATTTGACCAGGGGTGTTCAAACTTTTGCATACGACTGTAAATAAAGACTCCTTTCAACGTGGTCTTTAGGAATCATCTTCAAAATGAATACCTCTAAAAGTAAGACATTTGTAGACTTCATAACCTTAAATATATTTAAAATATTCATAACCTCTGGCTAGCACATTGTTTCCAGTCTTGCCTTTATCAGCCTTAATACTTATAAATAGCTTTCTGTAGGTCCCACAGCTTTGGTGCATTAATGCATTAAAGGCAATAGTAAGGCAGCTTGTTTGCACATCAAACACTGTTTCCCCTAAAAGGGGAATGGTCCTTGGACTAGCAAGCTGGGGGGGTTGTTGATTTCCTGAGTTAACACACCTGCTACTCAAGACGTCTGAGACGGAACCCTGCTTGGGGACATTGCTCTATACTTAGCTGACTATAATAGGCAGCCTGTAAACCACCACTGTTCAATACGCTTTTATAATCTTCAGGCCCCTGTCTGTGCAAACACACAGTCATTGACAAGGGGCTTTTTATACGTCTGTTTTATTCTGTCAGACTGAAAAGCAGCCATGTGGGATCTTTGACTACAGCTATATATATATTTTTGTTCTGAAGGGCTGTTCAGTGGTTCCTGAGATTCCAAATTCAATTAATCGAGCTATTTACTTCGCCAGCGACGCAGCTGTTGTTGGATGGAGTGCATAATGATGAGTGCAGAGAAAAACACTTTCACAGTGGGGGTTTGGGTAGAAGCGGCCATGTTAGGTTGTGCTAGAAATAATGTACTGCTGCTGCCACCTAGTGACTGTGATGAATTAGCACAAGAAAGTAAGAGTGGGGAGAGTTTTTGCTCACACACACTCACACACAGGCATTCAGATACTCAGTCACACCCACAACTGTAGCTAATGTGAGCTATACAATTTTATGCAAACAATTATAGAACTCACATTAGCTCACGTTACCTATAAAAAAGCCTCGTCAATGACAGCGTGTGCGGACACTGCTGGCCAAATTACGTGAAAAGAAGTAAAAACAACCTCTGCAGAAAATAAATGAATTATTTTTTTGGTTAATGTTAACTATTCCACTGTGCAGCATGGCCTCCGTAAACATGAACCGCATGGAGCAGTCATCAGAAGAAAAACCTTCGACCTCACCACAAACGTCAGCATCTGAAATATGCAAAACAACACCTAGACATGCCAGAGGCATTCTGGAAACAAGTGCTGTGTACTGTTGGGTCACAATCACCAAAGGTATGTTTGGAAAAAACGTAGCAACGTTTAATGAAAAGAACACCTCGCCTAATGTGAAGCATGGAGTGAAAGTATAGTGCTATGGGGTTATAGGAAACATTTCAGAGGGAAACGCATGAACAGAAATATCTAAATACTAAATCTATATACTAAATATCAAGCAAATTCTAAAAGCAAACGTAATGCAATCAGTCAAGGACAATGACCTAAAACACACCTCAAAATCCACCATGGACTACTTCAAGAAATACTTCACCATGGGATCAGGAATGGGTAGATCTCAAATATGCTATATTTGTATTATTTTATTAACTATTCACTCCATACACCCTGCCTTGATGCTAGTTAAGATATAAAAAATAGTTGAGTCATAAAAATATAAAATATGCACCTTTTCCCAGGGAAGGTGAATGTGGAGTACCCCTAAATTAATTTAAGGTACATAACCGGGCCTTAAGGATCATCTTGAACCTTTGACATTTACTTGTATGTACCTTTTTGCACAGGCCAAATTTTGTGTTTTATTTCTTTCCAATATATTCAATTTAGTAAATACACAGTAATTGTGCATTAAAAGGTGCAGAAGTGTGTTCTCTGTAGAGGATGTGTTTTACTTATTTTCACTCAGAAAGTTAGTGAAACATTACTTGATCAGAGGCGCCCAAATGTTTGCATATGACTGCAATCTGGCATTAAATCATCACATATTCGCCTCAAACTTCATTGAACTGTTAAGTAATCGCAAATTCGCTTATTTGGTTTCTGACTTTTGGCTATGGTTTGTGACATTTATATCTACAACAGCTGAGAAAAAGTAAACTACATAGCTAAAGAGAGTAGCACCAGCCATCTTCAACCTGAAATTTGTCCATCAAACATGACTTGGTTCACTGACTACAAACAAAACAAAGCACCAAAATATGGCCTTACAATACTGAAGTCATCTGACTCACTGGAAATACATGCTAAGAGAAATTCACAGTTGACTGATGTGTACCTGGAGTGTTCGACTTCTGTTCTCTGACTGTAGTGGACGTGCTCTTCTTCTCTGGCCTCTTGTCTGAGTGCTGGCTAAGCGATGGTGAGGAAGACAGTTCGACTTTGCGTTTCAGAACCAGGGTCGGGCTCCTTGGTCTGGAACTCAACCGAAGAAACGAGGCCCTGTTGAACCTCTGCAGCCTCAGGCCAAGACCAGGCCGCCGTGAAAAGCGATCATCCCGATTCCTGTAATAAAACCTGAAGGAAGAGATAAGTTAAAAAACTGCATTCACAATTTGTTGACTGAGGAACACCGAATAAATTGTCTCATTTCTCATCTTCTACCCAGCAGGCCATCAGTTCCTAATCCAGTTTTTGAGGACCACCAGCCAGTAGTGATTTAAATTTGAGCCATTTTTGACTATATGAATATTCACACTTTTAGTAAATACTATTCAAATCAAATTCATTATTCTAATGGATCACAAATGAAAGTACAGATTTTACTATCTCCAAATGAGACTCATAAATTAATGTGAGCATCTGTAAATGCCAACAAATAATCTGCATATTATAAACCTAAAAGACATATATAATTGATAAAGGGTCAAATACTGTAGTTAAAAATCCAGCGCAGAACTGTGGCTTATGGCCAACAGCACACACATCAGAAATGACCTCAAAGTGAATTAACAACATAAAACGGCCAAATAACATCATTAATACACTCTGTTTCTGGTTGAAATCCTTCCAAATTTATCACTCTGCTTTGGGCTGGCATGTCACTTGTCATTTGCAATATGCTTTTTAGCTTGCAGGCCACGCCTACATTCTTCACAAGCCAAAAACTTTATAGTGAAAAGAAAGTTTAGCATCTTGCAAAGCATTTGCTCTTTCTAACTATTCTCATTTAGTAAAGCATTGACACTGTTCACTGTATTGAAATAACCACACTCCACATTCAATCAGTCCATTTTTCATGCTATGATGCTCCCAACCAGGGTTGCCAGTTTGTGTCTATAGTTTTTAGCCAAAATGCATGAAAAACCATCCAAAAAGTACATATCAAAAACAGCCCAATGTCATTTTAACCATAACACAAAATAACACAGCATTTAACCAACATGACATCCATTTTAATTGTCTCACATTACATTATCCGCTGATGTCTTATATTTGCAGAAAATGTGCAGTACTTAATGTGACGCTAAATGGCACTGTCACTCCTAATACACATTTTTAATACAGATCACAGACCATTCCAGTGTCCTGCTATTATAAAACTTTGTACAGTCATAACGCAGAGTGAACTACATAATCAGTGCCGTGTTAGGCCCGTATGCACATCCATTTGATAAACAGTGAACTGGGTATGCCAACCGCTGATGTGGACCGCTGAACTGCTTGCTCTTAACAGGAGTGACTAAAATCTATGTCAAAGTTTGATAACTGACTCGATGTGGGAAGAAGTTAGGCCTAACCAAATTTCAGCTGCATTTTTAACTAATGCAGTTTATTCATTTTATATACTTTTTTCCAAACCTGCGAAAATCTGCATAATTTGGTGAGAATCCACTTAATCTGGCACCAATGCTCCAAACACTTGTAGAGCTAGATGATCACCATGCCTGGTTTGGTGAAGAGAACAAAACGAGTTTGCCATCAAGGTCTAGGTTGGCAACTCCTATATAGGGGTAAGAGTTAACGACAGAGAAACGCTCCAAGAGCCACAGAAAAACTCTTCAAAGCTAAACGCTTTGCTAATCCGCAACCAGCCAAGACGTATTTGGTGTCTGAAGTTTGTTTCTTTAGTTTTGCATTGAAGACATGAGGCTAATGTAGCTGAAAAGTATTGGAAGCTGGCTTTACCAATTAGCATGCCTAAATCATTACTTAATTGCTAATAAATTGACCCATTTTTAACTGAACTATTCTTTTAAGCTCTTCAGATGTATATGCATACTAGACAGGTATGGTAGATTGGAGGGGTGTAACAATCAAAGACAGGAACTCAGGTCAGCGACTCTGACTTGGATCTGAGACTTGAGAAGCATGAAATTTCAGCCTGAGAAAACAGCAAGGCATCAGGTTCAATATGGCTTCAAATAACAAGCCATTCGTTATAGACAATCCTTCAGTCTGATGGACAGAACGAAGTGCTACTAGTAAATGTGGTGTTTAGAGGAAAGCAACTTTGCTAACATTTAGTTTAGGTATCAAGTACAGATCACACGGATTGGCTATTACACCTGCTTGTATACTTGGTATACAAGATACTAACTACCTTTTTAACTTGTTCTGTTTCTTTACTGTTCGCAGGGGTTCAGTTCTGTCCATCATACTAAAGGTTTCTTAATTATGAGAGGCTTGTTAAAAGACTAAGTTAAAGTAAAATTCTCTATTAAACAGCTCAGACTTGCAGCTCTTTAGATTCGGGCCTTGCCTGGGAGTTCCATGAAGCGACTTGTGAACATCTCTGTTATAACACATTGCATTGTATCGTATCATAAGATATCGTAATGTGTTATACTGTATCATTGTATTGTGGCTAGCATGTTAGCATGTGGCTACTGCATTAGTTGGGGACAGCACACTAGCATGTGGTTAGCATGTGGCTACTGCATTAGCTTGGGGACAACATACTAGCTCATGCAGTAGCATGTGGCTACTGCATTAGCATGTTAGCATGTGGCTAATGCATTAGCTTGGGGCCAACATATTAGCTCATGGCTAGTGTGTGAAGTCGGGGCATAATAAAGCACAGTTTTTTCTTAGTATTTCTGAATGAATCAGGCAAAACCTCCACTGTGCCATCCTAAAGTCATAAATGTTGTAGTTTGATAATACTGAATGCTAATAAACTGAAAGCGGAAACACTAACTTCTTATTTTTGCTGTATCGAAAACTTCAGACTCCACAATATCATATCTTTTTAAATCATTTTGTGAATCATTACGCTACTAGCAGAGTGGTATGGCAAACTTTTCAGGTTTACACCTCCAGCTGCGAGATTTAATTGCTTACTTAGCTTCATCCTTCCTCCTTACATTTCAGAGACTTGCTTTTCTGGCTTTCCTAAGCAGTTCCTGTACATGAAGCTGGCTCAAGGCTACTAAAAGACAAAAGAAAGATACTGAAACGATCTCTTTGGAGAAGACAGTGTTTGATGAAGCTTTCCTACATGGTCACATAACCAATGAAACTCTAGTTTCAAAGTCCAATTCAGATCAAGGTAAACAGGTTCTTCCAGACACTATAAAAGCTCATAAAGGCATAGGCCACACGCAGGTGATTTTAATAATGCTTCTTATCTGCTACAACTATTCAAACTTGAATTTAATCTGATACAATAGTACTGTCTTTGGTAAAATGCCTGGAGTCCATCATCAAGTTGCCAAACTAGACATCAGGAGTATTTTAATGCATGAGACTAAACCCTAACACCTTTATCATGTGAGTTAATAACGTGCAAATTTGAACCCAGTTTCTACTGAATGTCTCTGAAAGTATTTGATCATAATACTCATATAAAAGCGGTGGGGGGTATATCTTGTATCTGTTCTTAATTTAGATGAATAGCAAATAAGACCTGACTTCTGCACTAGCATAGGCTCTGGAAATCTGCAAGAACTTTGATCTTAATCAAACAAGCTCACAAGGTAAAGTAGTCTTGGTGTATGGGTTCATTTTCTAACCTCATCGGAAGCTAAAGTAAAGAAATCTGCACCAGACCGACCTGCAACACTGAAACTTTGCTTGGAGCAAAGCAACAACTTGAACCGTGCTGCATAAAATTGATATAACCTTGCCACAAAAATGTTATAGGAAATGTCATATTAGATTTTGTTCAGAAATGTAACTTGTTCAGTGTCATGTTACCACCACTGGTAATTGCCATGACAGATGTCATAATGTTTGATGCCATGATGGCTAACTAGAGTACACTTAGCAAAAATTAGCATGTGACATAAGCTGTCATGATGCAGTATTAATCATGATAATTACCAGTAATGGAGACAGGACACTGTTATATTACTGAACAAACCTGTCATCAAAACTCATGATAGCGTATGATATGTTTATGGCATGGTTATGTCAGTGTATGTGGCAGGTTTTAAGTAAGTGTTACCACTATTAGCACCACTGTCACTTAACAAAGACTTCCCCCACCGTTCATGCCAGAAATGAAAAGCAATGCACTTCTAAACACCATATTATTGATGAATGCCTAACTGATTGAGTCATCACAACTGAATCTGTCCCTACTTCAAGTACTGACATTTCCCAGTGTTATGCATGTTATGTCACTTAACATTGCCAAGCCACCATTTTCACCGTGACGTTGAAGAATAAGATCCTGCCATCCTTCTCTTTGAAGCCTGGTGGCCTTTGCTGTGTTTTCACTCAAAGCACTATGAACTGAATTTTCAGACTTCTTTTAAACCACATTTAAGACCCTAGCCAGATTTCTAGGACTGACAGAAGTACCAGGTTTTATGACTGTTTGGACTAAATCTGCTCTCAATTTAAGAGTCTCACTGACAAGCCTGTTATCAATACATCGAGTAAAGAGATGGAAGGGAGGCATCTCTTTACACAGGGCACCATTCCATTGCGAATTGCTAATTATTTTTTTACTAACAAACAAAAAGCGTAAAAAGCTTAAAGACTATTAAAAGTCTCTACAAAGTGGAGTATCCTTTTATCTAGGACATCTATTTCTGGAAAAAAAAGTTGTGACAAGGCTCTATGCTCTATTGTTCCATCAGGGTAAGAACCATGACAGTTTAAGGCTTGATTGCAGCCCTTGCCTTGAAGCTGATTTATGTGCCGATCAGCACAGGTTACAACTTACCGAGGACGAAAGTATCTCCCTCGAGTGAACGGACGAGTAAATCGCGAGGGACTCCTCATTCTCTTGATGGGTCTTTTCTGATCCTGCAAGAAACATACTTTTCAGCGGTAATCAGACACAGAAGACGTCACATTGTTTATCTCTGATCGCTTTCTGGACAACGCCAAACAATACAATCCATGATAAGCAGTTAATGCAATTACACACCGCTTTCTGCAATGAAAACCACAGCAGCAACACTGCATGGTTTCACTTTGAGATACACTGACAAAAGTACCGCAGTGTATTTACTTCATTGAACTGTTTACATCAGCTCCACGTGGATAAATATATATAATACATTATATGTAGAAATGATTTTTTCATGGCTGATTCCAATTCCAATTTCTTTACAGCCAACTTGGCCTTATTAGCCTTTTTTGAACCTGAAGCTCACACTGTGTGGACTAAATGAACCCAAGAAACACAATAACACCTGTCCAGCACTTTCTATATTACCTGCCTATTTAAATAACATGAATCAAATAGTGTTCCATCCAAAGCGAGAGGCAACTGGCTATTTAGAACAATGAACAATTTTTGAACAGGTGTAGTGGCAGTACTCAAACACAGAGTGAATGCTCTTACCTGCCACTCTTCATGGTTCTTCAAGGGTTTTTTAGTGAAGGCTACAGTTCTGTTTAGAACCACAAGTTCCATACAGAGCCATTTCATGCTTAAATGGTTATTTGCATGGTGGAATATTCTTCAGATTTATGGAGAACGTGCTGTATATGCTTCTGTATAGAACCTTTTTGAAAAGGGTTCTATACAGCACCAAAAGGGTTCTGCTATTGTTATGATCTCAGCCTGTAACAACAGAAGAACCCTTTTTGGTGCTATATAGAACCTAGAAAAAGGTTCTGCATAGAACTAGATACAGCACAATTTCCATCACTCTGAAGAACCCTCTGAGAAGGGAAAACACCCATTAACCATGCAAATGGTTCTTTAAGTATTCATAGTTCTATATTGAGCCATTTCCTTTACTAAAGATCCCTTGAGGAAGCATCATTTTACAAGTGGCATTACGTCACAAAATCAGCCAAACAAATGAGTTGGCCAAATGCCGGTTACATGTTCTGAGCAAAAATCGGCCGATTACGATCTTGCCTGATTCTAATTGTGCGCCCATATTATTTATTATCAACCCATAAAATCCATGTGGCAATATGCACATTTCAATAAAGTAGATTCACAGCACTTCGTTTTAGTTAGTCTGAAACAGCTGTGTGTGTGTGTGTGTGTGTGTGTGTGTGTGTGTGGTGAGTGAGATAACATCTCATGTAGTGCTAAATACAGCAGAGTACAGGAAATACACTGGAGCGTATCAGAAATGGGGCAGAGAGGCAGATGTAGAGAGACACTGAGAGAGAGAGACACAGAGAGAGAGAGAGAGAGAGAGAGAGAGAGAGAGAGAGAGAGAGAGAGAGAGAGACAAACCGACCAAATTACAAAACACCTGAAACAAAAATACACGAGGCTTGTTGGGAAAGTCAATGTAATGAAACTCAAATGCACAGCGGTCTGGCTCTAAAAAGACAATGAACAAAGTCAGACTGACTTACCTGACCGCAGTGACAGATAATAACAAAAATTACCCTTAGAGGTCAGTTTCCTGGACAGCCTAGTACTGGACTACACTTTCCTTTCGAAGGCATTCAGAATGCTGTGTAGTGCAGGACTGAGCTTAACTGAACTGTGTACTACTGTTAACTCTACCGCTGTTAAGCTGCATTAGCTGCAGTCCGTGTGGGTTAAATGTCTTTGTCATTTCCTTTGACTGTAACATGAACATTAACGGCAGCTGATAAAAGCAGCTTTAGCGCTCAGGGTTGACGTTAGCCAACTTCCCTTACCATGAAATGAATGAAGCAAATAGCCACACTAACTAAAACAGTCACAGAGAAGATAAACAAACCCAGCTGTGAGGAAAATACTTTCAGCGGGGTGGTTTTGACAGAAAATAGCCCACAATGTGTTGTTTTTGTCTGGTCTACTGGTCACTCTTTCACTTTCACTTTGACTCCTCAGCTTATTTCATTCTAAAAATAACTACCGACTCAGAAAAGCTTCACACTACACACAAATACGACACAGAAAAGTTAGCATAAAGACACAAAAACACGACTAGCGTAGTTATATACAGACGGTCAGTGTGGGTCACCAGCCTACACAGCACCGAGTGTCCATCAGCAGCCTGTACCGTTTTCTGTGTGTGGAGCTGACTCGAGTCCATCCTGCTCGCTGCTCTTCTTCCTGACGAATGCAGCTGTTTCTCGCTAACTTTTTACACTATTGCACCTCGAGAAGATCAGGAAGTGTGAGCCTCTCTGAGTGGAGCTGACACACTGCAGAAGAGTTAAATGTGTTGCCTTCAGTCTCTTTTACTTTCTCTTTCGGTTCAGCTGTGGAATTGGGGCGTTTTCCGGACTTCATGTCTGGCAGGTATTCAACGCTCAGCTGGGTCGCGTTTTTAGTGTGCACTGAGAGTTTTACAGACGACTTGGACGGGTCCAGTCTAGAGTGATCAAAAAGCACAAATAAACCATTCGTTAATACTGAAAACAGGTGTAATCTGTGTTGTTGTGGATCAAAACAATGTGGTTTTAATGTTTGACCGAACAGATGCACTATAGTCACTTTTAGTCAGTTGAAATGCGGACTAGAGCAGAAAGACGGTCCGTAGGAGGAAGAGAAACAGACCGCAGTCCGCCGTTAAGGCGCTCGAAGCATTTCTTACATGAACCGGCAGGGGGCGCTGCTGCTGAACCTATTGAGAAAGCCGAAGACGGTGAAAAGTACCAGTGTAGAGTTTGGGGATTTTACTTGGACAAGAAAAAAAAACTTTTGTGAAGCCTCGCCCTCCCTCATTCATTTTTATACAGTTTTACTTTATTGTATTTTTTTATTTACTAAGTATTACTTTTATGCCATTTTTGCACAGTGTATTACTTTATTTGTGATTTTTATTGTGATTATTATTATTAGTGGTAAAATCATTATAGTAGTAGTAGTACTTTTTATTACTACTTTTATTACTAGTGGTACTTATTATTATTATAGTAGTAACAGTAGTAGTTGTGGTAGTTGTAGTATTATTATTATTATTATTATTATTATTATTATTATTATTAATATATAGCTCTGCATTCATAAGAAAAACAATAACAAAGATACATTTCTATAATTAAATTAATAAATTATTGCCAGTTGTGGCAAATGTGATTATTGTTGTTAGTTGTAGTAGTAGTACTGTGTATGTGTGTGGGTGTGAGAGAGAGAGAGAGAGATAGTGAGCACAGACACACACACACACAAAGACAGTGAAAGAAAGAGAGAGAGAGCACATGCGCGCATGCACACACACACATACACAGAGAGAGACAGAGAAAGACAGAGAAACAGTGAGAGCAAAAAAGAGCATGAGAGAGAGAAACTGAGAGAGAGAGAGAGAAAGAGAATGAGAGGGAGAGAGAGAGAGAGAGGAAGAGAGAGAGAAAGCGAGAGAATGTGAGAGAGAGAAAGAAAGAATGAGAGACAGAGAAACAGAGGGAGAGAGAGAGAGAAAGAGTGAGAGAGAGAGAGAGAATGAGAGAGAGAGAGAGAGAGAGGGGAGAGAGAGAGAGAGAGAGAGAGAGAGAGAGAGAGAGATGGGTGCTGTGTTCACTTCACTTCATTGGTCAAACAGGATAAACCGGTAGGAGAAATCCTCACTCAGACGCCTTCCTCCTCCACGCGTAAACATACACACACTGTGACAAGTATCATTTCTTGGCTGCTGAATGAGGATTTCTGTGGGCAGAATGAGGTAAGACACCGAGAAACTGAGTGTCAACTCAGTTCTGATATTTCTCACTTCACTTTCACTGATTTCAGTCTGAGAAACTTCATGCTGGTGTGGTGGTGGTGAGGTGGAGCCCTTCAGCTGATTCATTTTCATGGTTCGTTTGGTGTTTCTAAACAAGATGAAGACCTGAACTGGACAGTGTGGAGGACTTTTTCCATAACTTCTCCACTGCTTGTGTCCATAAAAATGAGCTTTACCACAACTACCAATCTGCTGACTTGAAATAACTGGCGAATAAATGTGCTGTGTAGATGTGAAAGTCCAATTATTGTCACTTTGCCATTTTCCTAAACTTTTGAGGTAGAAAATGTAAGGGTTAACTTAGTGTGCTGACTACATGGGTGTGTGTTGGAAGCACTGGGAGTTGTATTTGGGCTTTAAAGGAACACCTTAATGTGCTGTGCAGCTAATAATGGATGAAAAGTTGTTGGGCCAGTTACCACCAGAGGTGTGTAGAAGAGCCTAAAGCCATGTTACTGCAATTAAATAATGACTCAAGCTTAAAACATCTTGAGCAGTAAATAAAACTCCAGTCCAAAAAGCTCCTTAAGTGTCTTATACAACTACAGTAAAACGTCTTGACACATCCAGCATATATTAGCATAGCACAGAGGCCCATTCCTCCAGAATCATCTGTTCTTTTCTCCTTCTCCATTTCTGGTAACATGGTGTCAAGATATTGAGTTAGCGTCTCAAAATGACTTTTTCCCCATAATATTGACTTAATATGTCATAATAATGACTGATTTTCTCAAGATGTTTACTTGCTATGTTGAAATACTTAGCATGTCATAATAATGACTTTTTAAATATGGAATAACTCATTATTTCAACATATCTCAAATCTCAGAAAATAAGCCATTATTTGAACATTTAAGGTCAATATTTAAAAAATATAATTCATTATTCTGAAATATTAAGTCAAATGTTGGAGAAAATAAGTCATCGTTTTAAAATAATAAGTCAATATTTTTTAAAAATATGTCAAACGTTTTGACATGCTGCTGCCATAAACAGAGAAAGAGGTGCTATGTTTCTCCTCTGCCTGGTAGGAATGGGCTTCCATAGGTATTGATTTGTTTGGTAGTTTCTTGGGTGCTATTTTTCTCTTTTTTTAACCATTTTGGTTTAAATAAAACCAATTTAATGAATATAAGTGAGAGGTGTGACCAACAGCAAAGCTGTCCAGGTGCTGAACCAACAAAGAATAACATTAAACCCAAAAACGGAATTAGGAACTAAATGTGAATGAACGAAATTTGAGTAAACACATCCTCACCAATACAATTGAGCACATATAATAGTTTTCTCATTTGTAAATGCTTGGAAATTTACAAATCCTCAATCTCAAACTTGGGTAAATGTAGGGGAATTCCACTGACTATGCAAAATTTCTGCATAAACAAAGTCATTCAGAGTGGTTTGATGTGAAGCGCTCCCTTCTAGAGAAACTTAGTCAGAATTGTTCACAGTGGTGGTGATAGGAACCAGACATCTTATGACAAGTGTTTAATGCTTCTACAAGCTTCCTCACAGAAAGCTCTTACATGAAATGGTTATGAATATGAATCAGACATTGTTTTATGATAGCTTACATCTAAAACCTCAGAAGACACGTGTAGGATTACTGGTGGTGTTGGATAGTAAATAAAATGGCTATATTTGTTTTGTAGATATCACATCCGTGGATCCTGTCACCACCACTGTGAAGAAATCTGAGTTGGTAAGTTTCTCTACAATGAACCATCTACAATTTCACATCAAACCACTTAGAATGACACTGTTTACATCTCAACAATTGAGTTCTGCAGAAATTGTGACAAACCGCTGGAATTCCCCTTTAAATACTATGTGGGTCATTCTCCATTTGGAGTGAGAAACCATGTCATAAAGGTTGCAGGGCTTAAAAAGATGCTCAAAAGATTAGACGCAGCTCCAAAAGTCGGTTTGTACATTTACACAGTTGGTCTAAGATTAAAACATACTTTCCCATTATGATTTCTCTGTTTCATAGCCGACCTGCATGTGTAAAACAGCTCGTCACAAAACCAATTTTCAACATTTGAGAAACCATTTTTGATATAAAACAAAATTTTCAAGAGTTTTTAATTTTAAATTACAGTATTTATTTTTAAATTAAATTATATATTTTAATTTAAATAAAACAGATTCATGTTTGACATGATAAAATCTCAGTAACGCACTGCCTCGAGTGACTTATTACTCTTATAAAACGGCAGCCAACCTAAAATATATTAAAATACAGAATGTTTTAGATAATTATTTAAGTTATTATAAACAATAATCGACATAAGTATTCCGGCAAGAAATGTAGTTCCTTTAGCGTGCGCTATCGTTGCTAAGCAACCATTGACCGCTGAATGAAGAGAAGAACGTTCACTGTACACTGCAAACGTTTCATGTTTTTCATATAACAGTGAACATATGATAACACAGCACTGTTTAATAAAAAATCTTTCGGTTTATAAGTACTTTTTGGTCACCAAATTACCACCGCGAGTCTTCCGCTAGTCTGACGCTCACTTTTCTCACGCTGGGGCTGAATCTCAAACGGCTCCCTGCTCCCTAGAAAGTGCACAACAGGAATTTAAATAATTCCTGCATCCCAACAATGAAAAATATCGCTACAAAATGGTAATTTGGGATTTATCCACATTCATACTCGACAGGTAGTGCACTATTTGACAGCAGAAGCTAGAATTTCTAAACTTAATGTTACACAGCACACTATTTAGCTAGGGAGTATGGAGCCGTTTGGGATTCAGCCTAGGTTTGATGCTACTTCTGACTGAAACACAGACATTTAAAGCATGTAAGCCATTCAGGTGGCATTCTTTGTCGTTTAGCCTGTTGGATAGCTGACCAGCCTAGTTCTAGTAAAGAAAATTTTCAGCCCGAGTTTAAACCAACACGGGTTCTTACTTAATCTTACTTAATCCATTAACAGCAGAAGGTTTTTCGCGCTGTGGCGCAGTAATACAGAGTTCAGTTGCTGTGAGGCGGTCATAGCCTGGTATATCGTGGATTTTACAACAGCTTCGAACGCGGCTCAGCCAATCAGATTTCAGGACCGGAACTATCTGTTTTATAATACATTTTAACAGTATTTTCAGCTCTATTAGACTGCTTCTTTGGGTCAAGGCTCATCAGAGAGGACGCATCTCAAGACATGAGAAGGCTTTGGTCCACACTTGTAAAATAACACCATACATCATTTTTATTACTGATTTTAAATAGTTGCAGAAGATCACCTGACCGCCAATGAGTCAGCCAGTTTACAAAGCCTCAGTTTTAACCAAAATGCATATACCATATTCATATAAAACCAGTGACTGTAAAACATGTTTGGAATTAAGCTCTCCTTTTTGCATATATCATAATAGGAGATGTTATTGGACATATTAAGATTTTTTTGTTTTGAGATGAAAGATATTGATTTTTTTTTAAAAATGTATCCACCTGAATTCCTGCTCCAAATGGAAAATGACCCATGTATTTAGAAATGTGATAATTTTGCCTGACCCCAATTAGCTTTCATTCACTACACACCACAGTGATATTTCTGGGTCAGCTGTATTCTTGCTAGAGATGGATTTTTTCAGAGTCCATGAACACTCCCCCACCCCCACCCCAGAGCTCCAATTGACATGGACATGGTTGGTAACTGAAGGTGTCAAACTTGGTATTTCTATCACAGTGATCACGATGTCAAGAGGATAGGAATTCAAGAGGAATCCAAGCTTTTGGGCTGCATCCAGGGCTTCTAAGAAGTGATAGTGTAACACCAAGAGTGAAAACAGCCAGAGCCAAGTAGAAGATACTCTACAATGAGGTAAGACACTCTGTATGTGATGATAACCTCATTAAAAGGTAGTTCCTTGCAGATGTTTCAGAGAAGCACTGTGCAAGCTTCTAAACTTCAACCTATTTCCAAGCATTCCCACTCTCTTTCAGCTCCATCTAAGTTTCTGCCCTTCTTTTCTGCCTCTTATGACATCTAGTGTGGGCAGCTGGGCCATCTGTCCAGTGTTCAGTCAAAGCTTTCAGAGAGTACTGCACACTTGAAATAGCAAAGTAGAATAACACCCACTACAGTATAAATAGAGCCAGTCAATTTAGAAAGATGTATTGATTGATGAATGCATGCTTAGAATCAACTAATACTTGTGTGTGATTTGTAGGATAAGGACATATTCAAAAGCGCACATTCTGCAGAAGTTCCATGCGCACTGTCAGTCTCTCGCAGCCAACAACAATGCAGGATATCGAAGGGAATTTGAGGTGAATGTCTATTTCTGCCTGAACAAACCACAACCAAGTACACGTTATATCTTCAGTGTGACTTTACACACAGTACACAATACATACCTCAAGTAAAGATGCTCAAACCTATGTCTCAGAGGGCTGCACACCTGTTTCTTTATTCTTAGCTGAATCGGGTCTGTGGGATTGGTAAACAGGTAAACAAGAAGCGGTGTAGTGATGCAGCTCACCATTGAGATCTAAGTGAATTAAAAAAAAAATTTAGCCAATCAGCCGAGACACGCTTGGTGTCCAGTGTTCGCTTTAGTAGGTTTGTCATGGAGCTACAAGGCTAATCTAATGAAAGATAATACCTGCACTTTAGCATCAGGCAATCTGCAGACCTAAATCATCATATATGTGCCTCAAGATTTTTCAAAATTTCCGCATGATCCAGTCATTATGACATAAACAAGGTCTTTCCGAGTTGTTTGATGTAAATGAATCATATAGAAATCAGATATTTTGAGATTTACCCATATTTTGTGATTGCCAACATTACATATAAAAAACTCAAGACAAATATAGGCTCAATAGTCATTTTGTACAGCAAAAAGTTGTCATATTGCAGATACATCATAGCCCCTGGTTCCTATCACCACTACTATAAAGAAATCTGAGTCAGTATGTTTCTGTACAATGAACCATTTCAAATCAAACCACTCTGAATGACTTTGTTTACATCTCAAGGATGTAAGTTATGCAAAAATTTTGAAAATTGGTGGAATTTCTTTATAGGCAATATCAAATCGACTTGCTTGTCTGATTCCTGACTACAATTAAAAGTCAAGTCAATGTAAACTTATGAGGCAGCTTACTTCACAGCTGTTTTTGGGTTAAATTTACTTCAGGGCACTGGTGAACTCTGGTGGAATAAATCAGAAAACCTGTGAACAAACTTTTGAACAGTAGTATAAGTTGCCCTGACAAAAGTATAGACAAATGACTTCTACTGCAGTTTTAGCCATGCAACATGCTTTTGCCCAATTTGCCCACAAGCCTCTGATATATCTTGGCTGATGGACTCTATTTGACATAAGTGGAGAACTCTGTAAATGTCATTTTAAAGCAGAACTGTTCAAGATTTTTTTGTTAAAATTGAAAGAAGTAGCTTTACTGATTAAGGAGAAAGAAAAACAAGCATGCAGGCTTCGGGACAGATTTGGTGGGAGTTTTTCAGCCCACATCATACGTCTTTACATATTAACATTACATGCACAGGCTCAAAAAGAAGGTCTGGCTTGATGTTTAGGTCTCAAATGTAAAATCAGCATTATACAGATGAAGAATGCAACCTTAGATTCAAGCACAACTAACGTTACAAAATGTTCTTTCGCATGTTGCATGTAATTACACCCTTCCACCACAGAGGTCTCCATATCCACAAATCTTACATGGTGCAGCTTTAAGCACTAAAGTTTTGATTTCATAACAGTTCGTACTATAGTACTATTGTTTTCATTCCATAAAATATATGTGTTTTTGTAGGAGCTGAATGACACTGGGCAAGGCCTCACATGCAGGGCTGGAGAGCTGGAACCCAATAAAGAAAAAAACAGATACCCCTTCATCTTGCCCTGTAAGTGCTTACTTACCTCAAATCCATACATCCTTGGCTGTATTCAAACAGCCTCACTAATGTAATGAAATACACAGGGCACAAGCTAATGGCTACTGGACTATATATTTAATAGAGGATCAGACTTTATCTGCCTTGCATCCTTTGTTTTACCCACCTCATTAGCTCCTTGTACTAAACTGTTTTTTCCATGGAACTAATGACATATTGTGAGGTATAAATCCTTCCATCCATCCATCATCTAAACCGCTTATCCTTCTGGTTTGAGGTATAAATATGAGGTTTAAATATACTTATAGTAACAAAGTATTTTACGGACCTGAAGCTATGGGCCCAGGCTCTGGAAAAAGCCTTTCCTACCAGGAATGGATTGATCTTTTTATAATCAAACAATGCAGGCTGTCATTTTTAGCGAGCCAGCAAACATCCAATTGTCAAGCAAACTGCACATATTTGACTTATTCTTATCCAACCCTGGTCTTGGAGTAGGCCATGTCCTTCACATTTTAGTATTTTGGGGATATCACACTGGCAATGACCAACTTTACTATCAGCAACAATGAACTAGACCACCTGATTCTTTGTTCCAACCCTGTGATGTTCCTGTGTCTGGTTGTCTTTCAGATGATCACTGCAGGGTTAAGCTGTCTCTGCTGGATTCTCAGCCGCACTCAGATTACATCAACGCTAACTATGTGCCTGTGAGTACACCAGTAAAGTTTTATAGTTTTAAAGTTAATTAGTCAGTCAGTCAGTTCTCCCGCCAGTGAGTAATAGTGTGATCAGTTCCTGAGTTAAAAATATAGACCAGGCTGTCAGGGAGTTCGTGAGTCAGTAATAATAATTATAGTAGTCAGTGACTGTGTTTCTTATTTCAGTCCTCCAAGCTTCTCATATATTATTTTTATCCCAAAAAATTCAAAGATTTGCTAAGAAAGGAGGTAATTACCAACAGTCTGACACTCTACTTTGCATGAGTGGGGTGGCCAGTTTATCTGCTAAGAACTTGTATGCAAATGAAGATCAGGCACAACTTAACATGTAAGCAGAACAATGTAACCATGACTTTGGCTCACATGCTCTTTATATGTAAACGTATTTCTGCAAGGCAGGAGGAAACAAACAGATTTTTAATGTGACTGTTGTAGGATCAAGCTGTGACTCCTTAGTTTGAGATAATGACTGAAGTCATTAAGACACAACAATGACAAAGTAAAAAAAAATAGCTAAAACTTGAGAAAGTGTGTGGTTATGTCAAGATAATACATAATTATTTTGAGAAAACGATATTATTTTGACATAATATGGCAGAAAATCGAGGAAGTATGTGATTATTTTGACTTTCTGCTTTGAAACACGCATTAATTTTCAGCCTGAGGGATGACCTGAACTTCAGTTCTGTGCTGAGCACGTTTGAAAAATGCGAAATCGTAAAATCCCTGTTTAATTTTACTGAGTGCTTCCAGGTGGCTTGAGAACGGTATACATTTTAGAAAAACCTATGTGAAATGCATCAAAGATTGGCTGTAACATTTCTGTCAAAGCTCATTAACAGCATTAGACAAAAGGGAGACATGAGATACTTCTGGCTCATATAACATTATAACAGTTATTTACAGCATCAAAACTGAAAAGGCCCGTGTTATCTTGGCTCAGTGTGGTTCTTTATTGAGATCTGTGATAAAATGTAAGAGGAGATGAGTGAGATTACTGAGGTCTTTTGTTCTGGAGAAATATCTGAGTAGGAGGAGATTTAAGCATTTGTCTATTTATCTAATCTCACTATCGTCTAGGACAGCGGTGGACAACCCAAATGTTAGGAAGAGCCGTTTTGTCCTTTCAACAAAAATCAAACCACTTTGGAAGCCACAACATTGTATGTCCATTTTACCATCTTGGCTGTAAATATGTCTCAGTAGTTCTAGTACAGGCTAAAAATATAATATAAATGAAAATGCAGACTCACTCTGCTCTACAAGGCTGAAGTCAACTTCTCATCCTCCAGCGTCGTTTGAATTTTCCCATTACACCTTAAATGGTGCCTGAGGTGCCAGAACTGCTGCACTATTTAAGATGGATTGGGAAAATTCAAACAAGAAGCTGGCGAATGAGAAACTGGCTTCAGCCTCATGACTTTTTAGTGTTTGACAGTTTCTCATTGCAGATTAAATGTATCAGGAAACCAGCTGGACTGATTATAAATGCAAATCCATTTTTCTCCAAATTATCAACGTTCATCTTAAATCTTTCCCTTTGCCTTTTCGTTAGCTGACTAGCTAGGCGAGACTGTTGTCTGTGTTGCTATGGTGACCAGCAGTCTGTGCTGATCTTCAGGGTTAAAGGGTAAATTAGCAGTTATACATTAACTCCAGCGTTTAAGACCATTTATTGTTAAAACTGTGTTAGAATGATCAGCAGAGCTTTATTTTACTACAAAATGGATTATTTTATTTTTACCTAAAAATTCTGCTGTGGAGCCACGACAGGGCAGTAAAAGAGCCGCACATGTTGCCAACCCCTGGCCTAGGGGAAACTACAGCGATACTTCCTTTCCTAAGTATAATGCTGGGTACTTGGCTCAGGTGTGTTAGGAGCTAGAATAGAAAGAAAATATGGACTGTCTAGGCCTTGAGGACTAGATTTAGAACTTCAAGGCCAAACTGTAGACCACAGCATGCTCTGATTCACCTGACAAAAGGCTACACAGTTTATATGGATTTACAAAATACAGCATTTTAATAGACTGAACTTCAGAACTTTAAGGGTGGAAAAATATCCCTGCAGATTTTGTTTAGATAGTTGAATGCAAGCCCCCCTTAAAGAATGAAAGCTATAATAAAGGCAAAGTGTGGACACACTAAACACTGAAAGTTTGATATAATATGCAGCTGCTGAAGCTTGTGGAAACTGGTCATTCATGAATAAATGAAGAGTGGTCTCTGACAGTGCTGTTAATTAATATTTCAGAATTCCATTTTAATGACTGTATCTGTGTGTCTGTGTGTGTAGGGTGGCTGTTCAGAACGTGACTTCATCTGTACCCAGGCCCCTTTGCAGTCAACCATAGCAGATTTCTGGCGGATGGTCTGGGAGCAAAATGTGCAGGTCATCGTCATGGTGACAGCACTGAAAGAAAGTGGCAAGGTGTGGTATGTTAACTCGGCAGTCAAGACCACGATCCCATCACAAGTGACTTGTAACTGTGTGAATGTAACTGTGTGAAACTACAATATACATTATATATTTCATTTGCAGATGAGAGTGAAGTGAAGCTCCTCCCTGAAAGGAGATGCATGTATTGAAACACATGTGTTTGTATTTGTGTGTATGTCCAGATGTTGTGTAGCCAGTACTGGCCTCCTGAAAGAGGCACAGGCTGTTATGGCGCAGTTCAAGTAACCACCATTTCCTGTCACCGTGGCCCGGACTGCTACATCACCACCATCCACCTACGTCAGGTAAGTTACAGATAATGACCTGCAGAGCAGATAAAAGCAGTATACCATTTTCATAGATCAACAAGTTTTGCATAATTGTCTGTGTTTTAGCATGGCTGTCCCACAGAGCGGCGCATAACACATTATCATTACCCTGGCTGGCCGGATCGAGGAGTTCCAAGAGACCCCACCTCTCTCTGTGCCTTCGCTGAGCACATCAGGAAACACCTAGAAAACACACCAAACATAGGGCACACAGTGGTGCACTGCAGGTCTGTATATACAATTTTTATTTTGTCCAAAACTAAAAGGCAGGTTTATTTTAAACCCTTATGTAATTTTTGCTTAAAGGGGCAGTCCAGCCTAAATTCAAAATTTTACCATTGCTTCAAAGTCTATGTTGTAAACATGCCTATTCCTACAGTGGTGCCACAGTAGTCTCTAGAATGAGATTTTCTGATTTAAAGTGTATGTATGAGGAACTTTTAAAAGCCAGATAGCGAATGTTACTTCTAGGAAGCTGAATATCACATCTGTGTTTATTAGCCTCTATAAAAGTCGTTAGGCTAGCACAGTAGATTTCTTTGACAACGGTATGGTAGAGTCCCATTTAGTTGAATGATATATTTATGTACTGCATGCTAGATAACATGGTGAAAGAACATTGAAGGACAAAATTACAAAATCATGAATTCTGTCAAACCGATGAGGTTAAGGGATGCAATGCTGCGCTGCAGAACGCTGTATAACATGACAAATAACTTATGAAATGCAAGTTTCTGACTGGAAAGACTCTTTAAAGACCCTGTCATGTTTGAGTAAGTTTCCCAGCACATGGGAAAAAGGCTGATCTCCTCCCATAAACACTCATACAACAAACCAGCAAGGTGTACTAATGTGTTTCATGGAAAGATGTCCTGTAAACATGGCGCCCGCATTTGGGATAGACTAGTACAGGGGTGCCCAATTCTGGTCCTGGAGATCTACCACCCTGCAGAGTTTAACTCCAGCCCTAATCAAACACACCTGATCCAGGTAATGAAGGCTTTCAGGTGCATCTGAGTATTAGAGGCAGGTGTGTTGGATGTGAACTCTCCAAGATGGTAGATCTCCAGGACCAGGACTGGGCACGCCTGGACTATGACGTGCAGGTGATGCATGTATCATATCTGGTGCATGTTATTGAACTTCAGATTTGCTTATTTTACTATTTAAAGCACATTTATATGTACATTATAAACATAATGTAGCTCAATGACAAGGTCCTAATGCAGCATAATGCAGCTCACCAACCCCTAGTGGTCCTAGCCTTTATGGCAAGGAATTATGGGTAAGACACAGCTGCCGAGTCCACACTGATGCAGACCTCAGCAAAGGGTGCACGACTGGACTGTACAGAGCTTATGTAGGCAATCATTTGAACTCCAAACTGAGAAAATGAACACCCTACAATCTTTGCAGGCACATGCGAATGAAAACCACAGGTGCCCTAATTGGTCCTCATTTCAGTGTGTAAAGATGCTACAGTCAGATTGGTCTTACTCTTTCTCCTCTGTGTGTGTGTGTGCAGTGCAGGAGTGGGCCGCTCTGGAACATTTGTGGCATTGCTCTGGTTGATGCAGCTCTGTAGGCGGGGCATTTTTCCTGAAGTACGCCTGGCTGTCCAGGACCTGCGCAAACATCGAGTGATGATGGTGCAAAACCTGGTGAGACAGCTTAACCTCTGACATGCATGCACACTCATTTACAGTTCTAACTTGCAATGTATAGCACGTTATATCTCATATTGTATTCTTTGATATCATTTTCATATTACATTAATTGTTTACCAAAAAATAAAACGTACAATTGCACAGTTAACACATGAATAGGATCTCAAGTTTGCTGCTTTACATTTGCACAGGTGCTACAGGGCTAATGTAGCGAACAAGTAAAGTCAGCCAGTATGTATTGTCCTACGTCGGATGTATGACTTTGTATATATAAAATCATGTAAACACATGAAAAGTGTTTTATTTTTTGCCGTGATGTTGACTGCGGGCAGTACATTCCCATATTAACGACACGTTACATTCACTTAAAGGATATTTCCACCAATTATTCAAAATCGTATAATTTAGGATGGTTTAAGGTAAAATGGTTCATTACAGAGAAGCTCACTGTCCCAGATTTCTTTCCTGTGGTGGTGACAGAAAATGTCTACAACACAAATAGATTTTATATACTGTCCAAAACCAACAGTGAACCTTCACGTATCTGTTTTTATACGTAATACCTTTGAATGCACACCTTCACCATAATTAAAAAAACAAACAAACAAACAAAAATGCTTATCTTAAACTTGTAAAACAATGTATCAGACATCAGGAGCACGTTCATAACCATTTCATGTACTAACTTTCTGTGAGGGAGCCTTTAGAGGCATTAAACACTTAAGATGGTCTGGTTCCAATCACCACCACTATGAACTATTCTGACTCGGTAAGCGCCTCTAGAATGGAGAATTTCAAATCAAACCTCTCTCAATGATGAAGAAATGTTGAAAAGTCAGTGTAATTCCCCTTTAATCTTAGTGGACTGGTAGGACAAAAGAAAATACAATTAAATTAAATGTTTTCCTACTTGTGAGCAGCTGAAATGTATTGCACAATATTTTTGTATAATAAATAAAAAAACTTTACCATTTCTGTAATTTGTACTGATATTACTAATCTCATGCAAATCACAGAGGTAAAACTACATATCTCCACCATGCCATGTTAAACTAATCATGTCCAAATAGTACTTTTGGTTTATATTACATTAACCTCAAAGCTCCACTGCAAAACTAAAGAAGCAAACTTTTACAGTGAACCATTACATTTTTATATTATTGTAAATGCCATGTCTTCTTGAATAATTTATTTCAAGTATATATAATATGTTTGGGGAAAAAATAGTGTGTGTGTTCTCTTTAAGGAACAATACATACTTGTGCATCAGTGTCTTCTTCACTGGCTGGGTGAGGACATGCTTAGACCAAGGTGAGAATCAAACACACAGCCAAGGCAACAAAAGAACACTTTTTTTTACATGTGTCACTTTAACATACAAGTCATATCAATGCTGTTTTCATGCCTACAGTACCCAGAGTGCTCCTGTACCACTCCGAACAACACCGTCCCAAAAGACCAGGCAATCCAGAAGAGAACGGAGGAGCCGAAGCAGACCACCTGACCACACACAGCGGGCTGAGTCCATGCACTCCTCTGAGCAAGTCTCACACACACAGCCAACTCAGCAGAGGGCATGGCGGGCCATACAGACCACACTGCAGACGATCCACCCTGGTAAACTCCTGCGGAGGATACTGCCCACAACACAAAACTCACCACAGGACACACAGCTGTAGCCCAGTGACACACAGTGAGGACTGATCCAGGATCAGCATCTTCATCCTTCAACGTATTTAGCTAGTTAAACTTTACACATGCACCAATATTAAATAATAATACAGTGAAATTCAATACATGTGATACTGTCGTCAATAACATGCTGAAATACTGTCACTGCATTTAAGTCAGATTGCAGTTTCATCAGAGATTTTTTTAGATATGCAGAGTAGCTCTGGTTTCACATGGTCCTACTACACCAGGGGTCACCAATCTTATTCATAAAGCCCGGTGTATCTTTATTCCACTTGTTTAATCAGTTAGTCTCATTCTTCAGACAACTGATAAGTTATCTAAGGTGTGCTCCTGTTTGGCTAGAATGAAAAAAACCTGCGGCCACACGCTGTCATTTGATGTTTGTAGAGCTGTTTTAATGTTGTTAGTTTGATCACCCTCACAGCTCCAAGTAAAAGCTGCAATGCTCCTTTCATGCTTCATTTGGTAACTAGGGTAGGGTCTACCACCTGACCTGAAAAGAAAAAAAAACCAAGGGGAAACCAAATACGTGATGTGATACCCTTTAAGACTATATTCAAGCACAAGGACAAATCTAACTCCAAAAAAGTTGGGGCAGTATATGAAAGGTAAATAAAACCAGAAAGCAAAACCCAACTTGACCTGTATTTAAACATAAAGACAAAAAATCTATGATTTTATCAATTTCATTACTTCTAAACATACACTCTTTCTGAAATTGATGCCAACAACATGTTCCAAAACATTTGGACAGGGGCAATTTAACACTAGGGACATAGGTGATGTAATCATGCTTGGGTATAAAAAGAACCTCTAGGAAAGCCTTAGCGCTTAATGAGCAAGGATGGGTCGATGTTCTCCACTTTGCCAAAAAATGCATCAGCAAATAGTCCAATCTGTTTAAGAACCACTTTCCTCAACAAGCATTTGCAAGGACTTTAGGTATTTCACTCTCTACAGTGCATTGTATCATTAAATCTCGGTGCATAAACAGCAAGGTCTGCGTTTGAAGACCCCGAGAGACTCTGCTCTTCGGACAGCCAGTGGGAGTTCATTCCACCACCTGGGTGCCAGGACTTTTCAAACAAATACAATGCAAACTGCGACAACAGAGGCCCCGAACAGTTACGCAACTGAAGACGTGTATAACTGAGGAACGGCAAAAAAATCTAATTTCAAAACTGGATCAATTGGTGTGTTTAGTCTCCAAACATATATTAAGCACTGTTATAAGGACAGGCGATATAACACACTGGTGAACGTACTCCTGTCCCAACTTTTTTGGAATGTGTTGCAGGTATCAAATTTACAATGAGCATACATTTACCAAAAAACAATATTTCGTGGGTTATTACATGAAATATCATGTTTTTGTGTTGTTTTCAATTTAACACAGGTCAAACTGAATTTACCAGTCACTGTTTTCTGTTTTATGTATTATTTTATGCATGTAGTATTTTTCTTAATACAATATTGTGATAATATTGTTAACTTTGATAATAGGTTAGGTAATTATTGTGATCATTTTTTATATCGGCACATTCCTACTGAACTTCTCTGAGACTTGTCTCCCATGCCATACTGAGTGTTAAACAAATATATCAGCTGTTATGCACTAATCAGGATAAACAAAACAAATAATAGCGTATTCATTTTTAGAACCCTGTTGTGGCCAGTTTAAGGAGAATTCCTTCACTTCACTTTACTTTCAAACCTGTAAATCAGTGGTTCCCAACCCGGTTCTCAGGTCCACGTTCCTTCTTCTTCTCTACGCATTGAGAGTTGGGTTGGAACAAGAATGTAGACCATGTTGGGCACCACTGATCTATATAATGCTGGTCTAACCTAAGAGTAGTTCTAAATGAACGGCTCTTTTAAACATGAAGGTGCTAAATAAAACCTTCACTTAAATAACTTCACTTTGTATTGTTTGAACTTTGTACCTTTGTGAACGACAGAACATGTAAAGCTGGTTGTATTTCAGATACAAGGAGATGTTTACTTAATTAAAACTACTGGATGGAGGGATGAACTATCAGAGCAATGTTTTCATTTTGAAATTGATGGGATCTGGGGCTAATGACAGATTTGACTAACTGCAGCGAAATCTAAGCGCCCCTGGTTAAATGACATGTTCTGTTGATAGTTTTGCTGAAATTAACATTTTCTCTATAGAGAACATGAGTTTTGCACATTTTAATACACATTTACTGTCTATTCGCTGAATTTAACATAGTGGAAAATCAAATAATGTAAAATGTGGCCTGTGCAAAACTTAGTTTAGCTTTTATTTTTTATTTAAATATTTTTAAAATAAGTTTTTAAAAATTTTGCATTAAATGTTACAGAAAAAGTTCTCTGTAGAGGATGTGTAACTTACTTTCATTTAGAAAATCAACAAAACATGTAAATTGGCCAGGTGTGTTCAAACATTTGTGTACAACTAGGGCTGAGACATTGTTTTTAAGTTGAAATCGCAGGTTAAAAAAGTGGAATTTTCAAATCGCAAGAGCTGCAATTTTTTATTAATAGAATACATTATCAACAGCATTGATGGAACTGCCTGTAGATAGGTTAAACCAATCAAAAGCAACCAAACACCAATGTGACATCATAAGCATAACTAACTGGCAGTCTGGTGCACTATGGTCAGTGTTCAAGCCTGCTGCCAAAAAATGGATACGGATATTCAGACCTGGACCATTAATTCTGTTGTGCCCATTTTGTACTGCATGTTGCTTTATATCTACTTGATCATTCTGACTTAAGTCATCCTTTGATAGATTACTGACAAGAGTTTATTCTAGCCGTGCAAAACTCGCAGAATTAGAACTCGAGTATGTTACAATTCTCCTTTAATCTTCTCAGTCCTTTCCAGTGTTCCAGCGTAGATACCTTAGATACTTGTAGATAAGCGGAAGATTCTTTAGCTGTGGCAGGAAATCCTGATTCATCCTGAATAAATCTGGCTTGCCTACCTTTCCTGCCACAGCTAAAGAATCTTCCGCATGTTCTTTTAACTATTTTAGCTCAAGATGGTGCTTGATTTTAGCAGCTTTCGTTTTCCCCTTACAACATGACCAGCCTGTTGTGCCACGGCCAGATGGTGCAGGGCATGCAGCTACATAGCTCTTTCCTCATTACTTTGCAATGAAGCAGCATCTTCCTCATTCCATAATCTGTATTAATGTACACTATAGAAGAGCCATTCATTCATTTACTTGTATACCAACCCAGCAACAAAAGTGTAATACCATTTGTCTATCAACGTCCTTTTGATCAATTCTGTGGTGTTTAGCTGTTGACTATAAGCTGCAGGCTGAAGATAAGGCCCACAGAAGTTGTGCAGTATATGCAAATGGCACCCTCTGCTGGAAATTCCTGCTACATATTCATGAAGGAGAACGCATTCCAGGTGCACCCAATCTTGGCCTTAAGTGACACAAACTGTACTCATTAGGAAAGAACAGAAATTTAAACTACCAATCAAGAAGTGCAGAAATCTCATTCAGAGCTCCAGAAAAAGGTTGACTGAAATTCTTGTCTTCAAAGACTGTGCTACATAATAATTCATTAAGTGACCCAATATTTTATGGCATGTTCTTTTGTGCAAAGTGAGAGTAAGTAGTGGACACAGCTCAGGTTTCAAGCTATTCCTTTTTTATTCTACGAGAACACAAAGCATTTCTGTCCAACCTCTATAATTACTCTTGGTGATCTACAGCCCTGGACAGTTTAGTTCCCACCCTAATCCAACACACCCGATCCAGTTAATCAAGCCCTAATGCATCTGGATATTATAGCCAGCCATAATGGCACAAAGTGCACTTAGCAGACAACAGAACGAACAAAAAGAACACGAAACACATAAAGGCCATATATGGAGTAGATGCTATAGTGCTTGTATCAGATTTCCTTGGGAACCAGATTTGACTTGTATGTTTGGGCAAGCCTAAAATCAACCTGAAATCAAGAGTGACCCTTTTTTTTTCTTGTGAGCTTATGTCGCTGGTCATAACAAGGACAAATTTATCATACCAATGCCGGTTCTTACTATATGCATACTATGAAACTTTCATAGGGCTCCCATTGCATGCATGATGGTATATTTTATATCTATTTATTAGAAAGGCATATTATACATTCCTAAAGACGGCAGGGAACCACTATAGGCCTAAAAAATCTGAGATGGTAACACTGGGCTGTTATTCTTCTGTTCTTATCCATACAGGCGTAGTAGCTGCAACAGACTTGACAGGATGGCTTTGAAGCAGGTCCTTTGTCAGGGGGCCGCCAACCAATATTTGTTCCCCACTAAACCCACTACGGTTTCTACACACTTTTATAGCATCAAAAAAACAAAGAGAAAGTAAACTTCCTGCACAGCTCCTTGCAAAGTGCTAGCCCACATCACTTTGTATTGGCTGCATTTTGGGATGTGCTGTATGTTGTGGGAGGCTCAGCAGATGAAATTCCTAAATGGGAAGATCTTTGATGATTTGTTGTGAACGTGTCTCTCCTGATGATTTTCTTCTAAATGTGTGGCTCCTTTGGACAGATCCACCATGCATTTGTAGTAACATTTTTTCCAGCCTTTTTTGGGCTGCATGAAAACACTAGATTCCCCTGGCCCGGGCTGAAACTGAAGACCTATCTGAGATCGTCTATATCCCACCTGTAAAAATCTAACGGTATGATTTTTTCCAAAAGCAGGATGTTGAACAGCAGATTGTAGGAGGAATTAAGAGATATGTCGGTAAGTTTACCATTACTTCAGCTCCAGTTTTCCTGGGTCCCTCAACAGGCCAAGATCAGCACTACAATTTAATTCTTAAAATTCTTGTTTTCCCATAATCTTTGATCAATGTGGAGTGACTTTTGCCCCCCTTCTAAAATGTTTTCTCATTTTTGATATCACTGTGCACCAGCACGTAGGGAAAATAATATTAACCAATATCATGTTTCACCTCCCACTTCTTCCATACCCACCGTGCTTCTCTCAGAAATATATCAAGGAATGGAAGGAAAATGCATGGATTTCTGATTCATGTTGACTTTAAAGCTTGTGATTTGCTGCTCGGTATTCATAATATGGTCCAATGCAGAACTCTACTATGTTTGTACTTTTTGGGAAACTCTCAGATTGATTACAAATATCTGAATTTAGGCCTACTGATCTAAATAAGGTATTTCTTTTTTATTTCGGTCTCTGTCTACATACTGATAATGCCTACATTTCCCCTTTAGAACTGATCTCCATCAAGACTTTATTACAGAAACAAAACTGACAGAGAGCGTAAAAGTCATGAGTTTATCTTTATGCATTTGTTATGCAAATCAGTCCATATAACGTATATTACACTTTTGCTGGACTTGACAGCAACCAGCACAGCTCATGTTCTTGTTTCCAAACATAATCACTGTGTATGTTTTTGTACTAATACAAAATACCAACCCGGTCCTCGTGGCCCCCTAGACGGTCCACCATTTTTCTTCATTCCTCCATGTTGTGAGTTGTTTTGAAAAATAAAATGTGTCTGGGGGGCCTGAGGACAACTGTACTAACATTCTAAGACTGAGTTTTGCATCAGGTTCATAACTGGAACAAAATTAACACTGCTGCCAATGTATACTCATCTGTAACATTTGTGTGAGATTGTTATGAATGACTGAAAAACCTGGACCTGAAAATACCAATACTACCTTTAGTATAATCCTTAGTTTACCAGTCCAGACCAGCAGCATTAAGGCAGGAGTTTGGGAACACAGCCAGCTTATACAAAGCTGAGAAAGAGGGCGGTAAATGACAAAAAGCAGGAAAAGAAGTGCATGAGGATTCAATAAGGCGCTGTGAAGTAAGACGGAGTCAACACTAAAAGGTTTGACTAGAAACATAAAAAATAATTACAAAAAAGCTATCTGAACTTTGGCAAAAGGTAAGTAGACATCTATGCCCATGTGAATGTATGTGAGTCTCTCAGTAAGATCTGAGTGCCTAAATAATATGAGGCAACTTAAAAGACAATGAGCTGCAGAGGTAGGTATGTGTGTATGTGTATGTAAAACAAGGGCAAAAAGAGAGAGAGCAAGGTCCATGTTGTGTCTCCTCTTTTCTACTGCATGTGTTATGATTGACATAACTGCCCCTCCCTACTGCAGAGATACGGCTTTGCTGGCAAAGGCTTCCTGTATCTCCCGCACGATGAGGATGCGAGACAGCATGTGCTCCAGCTGCTCGCGTGAGACTGGCTGCGTTGAGTACCAGATGGGGCTGTTGGGGGTAACCACAGGTTCCGGTGTCAAATAGAAGACATCGTTCCGACCTTTGTCACTCTGTGGACTAAAAGAAGGGCAAACGAAGAGGGATTACTTAAAGCAATAGTTTGGTAAAAATTAAATCTACAGTGTCTGCATTATCCCAAACGTAGACAACAAGTAATATTGGATAAAAGTATGTCACACAGCTAAAAACAGCAGTAGGAAACGGCTGAAGTCAGAACTTTGCCATACCTTTTGTAGACAACTATATATTACACAGCAATATAAAAAAAACAACAAAAAAAAAAACAAACATAACTAGGCCTACCTGAAATTACGTTACATTTAGATGTAGGCATGCCGTTTGCACAATGTTATTTGGTGGGATATAAGCTTCCAATACTTGTTAGCTGTATTAGCCTCACAGCTCTAGTGCAAAACTAGAGAAGCCAACTTTGGACAACAAACCTGTCTTAACTGATCGACTACATTTGAGGTAAGGTCAAAACGGTCCATTTGATTTGTTGCTTAACTGTCTAAACAGTAAATTCATAAATTTACCAAACTTTATAAGAGACTAAGAGCCTTCCTTTGCACGTGTTATTGTGTATACTTGCCATTTAAAGAGGTAGAAGTCATAGAGTTTGATAGGACAGCGTAAAGGGTTCTCTGGATACTCTGACTGTTCAGCATACATGTCATCAGTCACTGTCAATAAACAGATACAGACACATACAGACCATCAAATGTATTGCTCCCAGACATGTTTAGTCAAATGGTTTCATCTATTGATCACCTACCTTTCTGGCCAACCTGGTACTGTCCGATTCCTTTTAGGTAGCGGATGCTTGTGCTCCTGTCTTTGGGGTTGGATGGGTTCTTCTTAGTGTGTCGTAAAACCTTCGTGAACGCTACTTTCAGGTGCTGATCTACTGTTTTTAACTGAAAAAACCTAAATGGGTATGAAGAGTGGGACATGAATGAGTACATGTTATAATTGTTAACACTAGTGAAACACTATTATGTATCTGTAATCGGCAATAACACACATTAGCCAATTATGGGTTGACTGCACACTTTAGGGCCCAGACACATCAAGCCGACCATCAGTCGTTAGATGTTAACAGGCCGCTGGCAAGCGCTGGAGGCTGACAGTCGCCTGTTGTGTCCTGCACTGTTGGCCTGAATTGGCTCTGGCTGGATCTTGTTAGATTTGGGCAAAATATCGAATTGCAATCGTTCTGACCAGCATTCTCAGTGCAATTTAAATTGCAATTATGTTTTTACAAAATGAGCCAAGAACACCAGCATATCCACTTTTTCAGGCTTGAGGCCTGAACACTGAACACATGGTGTCAAACTGCCAGTTAGTTGTGGTTGTAATATCAAGTATTCAGCCCATGGGTGTTTGGTTGCTTCTGACTGGTCTAACTCATCTACAGATGGTTCACAAGCTCTGTGATATTGTGTTGAATTTCTCCACTTAGAAGTTGAAACAAGAGCATTAATAATGCAGGCTATAATTAAAACTGCAGCTTGTGATTTGAAAACTGCACTTCATATTGTGTTTTCAATATAAAAACAATGCACTTTTCAGCACAAGCTATAAGCCTAAGCATAAGCTTATGTCACGCAGAAGCAGCATGTGTGAAATAGGCCTTTGTGATTTAGTGTTTGGTGTTGGAGAAGCATTAATGATGCATGCTTACTTGGTGTTGAAAAACATTAGAGTTGTGAGGAGTGTGGAAGGTGAATGGGCTCCCAATTGTTTGCATTCCCATAACATTTCTTCAGTCACATGACTGGGGATAATGTAACCTGGAAGAAATCAATGGATGAGCATCACCAATATCAACAAATAATTAAAAATCAAACAAAAGATCCTTCATTAGCACTTTACAGATACTGAATGTATGTGCATAATGAATATAAATTAGTTCGTTTTCTCACCTAAAGGATGGATGCTGGGTTGCCAAGAGTTCAATATCTTGTGCAGTGACTGCTGAAAGCGCTGATAATACCGATCTGTGAATATATTATCTACTCTGCCATTATCAAACATAAACTGCAAAGAGAAAAAGAAAACAAAAGACATAGTAACTCAGAAAGAACACAAAATCTATAATTTTCAGTGAGATTATTTTGGTATGATTCAGAAAACAATGAGTACTAGAGGAATTGCATACACATTCATACAATTTAGAGAATAAAAGCACATCAAGCTTTTATTTGGATTTTATATTTATTACAGCCCAATAATTTTGGCCACAACAAATGCTTTAATGAATATTGCAAAATCAGTGCAGTTTAAGCTCAACTCATTGTTATACACCTACTGAGCAAAGTGTCTGTGTGTGTGCCATGTACCTTTTGTATACAGAGGAAGATGTAGTAGAGCATATCATCTTCTAAACTCTCCCCCTCTAAACCCCTGGCCTCCTGTGTCATTAAAGCCAAGCCTAAACTCAGCTCTGCTATGGAACTGGAGAGCAGGTCATCCTGAAACCGCAACAGCTGCCGCCCTACACATATGCACACACAATAAACTGAAGAACAGCGGACACGTTTTTCTATCACAGCACAGGACAAAGCATTCTTTGCTGTTGCTCCTGTCATGACATAAAGCCTTTTTAATTAGCTTATAGCCAACCTGAATCTATTATGTAACCAATGACGTAGAAATAGAGACAAACAATATCAATCATAGCGATATCAGCAGATACCTGCTTAAAAAAAATATATCAGCACCATACAGATGTTTAAAATTGACCAATATTTCAAATCAATATTTGATATTGTATGGATTTTACTGTATTGTACTGTGAATAGAATGTTTAGGTGGCGCTAGACCACTGTGCACAAGTTTGCAACTTCCTTTAAAATGTATTTTCTTATGTCAAGTTTCCTTATAATTTCAAACTCTACCGCATATAAAACAACATACAGGGGAAAAAAAAAAAAACACAAACTGCCAATAGGGGCCAGCCTGTTCCGCTGCTCTTTCTCCAGCTCAGTGTTCTTCTTTTGAGCCCACAGTCTCCACTCCATAAGCCCCTCCTCTGGCTTTAGAAAGGCAGGCAATGTCTCACTGTCAGACACACCATGCACCTGCCCCTGCTGCTCCTGTCAAGCAAACACAGAGGCAGGTCCTCAATACACTTATACAGTATCAATATAGTGCAGGTAGTTTCAGTTAAAGAGAACATGACAGGTAACAGAATACTGGGTTTAATGCATTACAAATTAAAACTACAGCATAAAGCATTTTAAACATTTTTTCAGGTATGTTCTCAGTCTGTTGCTAAGAATACACATTCCAGCCTGAAAACAGCATTTAATATTTTGTCATGTTCTATCATATTCTAAAATGCAGGACTGTATTCCTCAAGCCTCCTTACAGAATTCATAATTTTGTATCCTTTGTGGTTTCGTCCATTAGTGTTCTCTCACCTCAATACCCACGCAAATACGTCACACATGCATAAATATAGCCAAATAAAGAAATTCACTGATGTAAGAATCATATAGAGGCTAATACAGACATGATATTCGGGTTCTATCAGTAACTGATCAGTATCAGTATCTGGCTCATGAACGAGTCTGCCCTCATGAATCGGCCGCAAAGCACATGCAGTTCTTCCACCTTCAAGATACATCATCAGAAGGGTTTTTTTTTCTGCTTTCAAACAGGTAAATCTCACTCTTCAGACTAACCCTGCTTCTGCAACACAACCATCTTGTTCTTACAGGCAACAATTTAGGGCTGAAAAAATAACTGTTACATAATCATTTGAGTGGTTCTCTGTTTTTTCTGCTTTATTTATTATTAGTGACTTTATCTTGCTTCATATTTTATTTGTGTGCATTTTTGCTTTGTTCCAAAGTATCGCATTATGAATTTTCCTAATCATTACACCTTACCTGCAAGGTCTGCTGCTCCGGAGCTCCACCTACTTGTGTCTGCACAATCTGCTGCTGAGGGTCCCAGATGTGCAAAGACTGTGTGCTGTTTGGACATGACCCCGTTACTCCGCCAACAGTCTGCACAGCGACAGGTATATGAATATTTCCATTCATAAACTGTGCAGGGAAGAGGGTATTTGACAATGCTTGTACCACCTCTTCCTGTCCCCCAGCACCCCCACCCACAGTCGGCATGGAAACCACCGACACACTGGGAGCAGTTTTGTTCTTGTCCTTGTCATCAGCAGCGATGGGGGCGGAGACATGAAGTGTTGTAGGAGTGCCATAGGCATCCTGTGGTACAGCGATGTGGGTGATGCCAGTCTGTTGGGTGGGTGCTGTATACACAGGGATGGTCCACGTCTCCCCGGTGGGACTTGTAAGTGTGCCAGTTGTGCTGTATAACTGAGTGCTGTCCACTGTGACTAAATCAGGCCTTAGAGACAAGTAACTCTGTTGCTGACCTTGTGGAATAGCTACCACCGTAGCTAGCTGTTGGCCAGGGATGGCGTAGGAGACTGTGATGGGGAGGTCCACTTTGCGTTTCTTGGCAGGTTGGAGGACACTGGCTGAAGTGACAGAGGCTCTGTTGGTAGCCTCCCCATGTGGAGAGCTTTGGGGTTGGGTGGGGGATTCAGGTAAGGCCCCTACTGTCTGGATCTGGATCTGCTGTCCGTTTGCGACTGCTGCTATTAACTGAGCCTGGATCTAATGTGACAGACAGACACAGAGAAAGATAGTAGATGTTGAGACAGATTCTGTAGATAAACAGATTCTTAGCTGTACCCTATCTGTACTGTACCTGTTGGTGTTGCTCCTCTGTGAGCTCTCCAGGTTGTATAACCTGTGTTGCCGCAGCAACAGTTGGCAAATGCTGAGAAGGCATGTGTCCAATCTGTGCCTGCTGCCCCTGAATCTGAACCTGGGTTTGGAATAATCAGCTCATTATTATTCACTAAAATAGCTGTGTCAACAAACTAATCTGAACAGGAACAGAAACTGAACATCTCCATGTGTTCAATATGTAGAAAAACAGAATTATCAATCAGAACTGCATTCTACCTGTACTTGTACGGGTTGCTGCTCTGTGGATTGATATCCACCTGTAGTGACCTGTGCTGTTGACACCTGAGGATGCAGAGACAGCTGCTCATGATGCTGACATGATGGCTGCACCTGTACCTGGACCTCCAGCCATTCAGGCCACAGGGGAGAGGCAAGTAAGACAGCCAGCAAACATTTAAAAAAAAGAACAAGGTGTTGCACCACAGTGATAATGTTTAACGTGACAGAGAGTAAAACTATCACAAACCAAAGGTAGTCATGTTAAGAAGCTTTAAGAAAGCTAACGCTGCTTACAAACACTAGACGTTAACTGTCCCTCAAATATTTTATGTAAACCACAAATCATCCACAAATCTTCTCTCAACCCACTGGAATCGTATCAAGGTCTTCAGTAAGGCTGCACAGACTCGTCTATGATACAGTATGACTCGCTTAGAGATTAAAAATGAATAAAACTTCACGGTGTTGCTAAACGCAGCGAAGAGCCACGTAGACCTGTGTTGTGCCAAACTCAGCTTCCCCCGCACGCGCACGCTGAAATACAGACCCCGGATTGACGTACATTCACGGTTTCAGTTGAACATATTCAGGGCTCGACATTATCGCCTGTCCACACAAGTGAAATTTTCGGGGGCAAGTAGATGATGAATTTACTTCAAAGTTAAAATAACCCAACAAACTATTTTATATATAAAAAAAGACTGTTCTGGGACGAGTGAACGCTAATTTCTGATAAAGTTACTTACAAACAGCGGGTGAGTTCACATCTTCATCCCACCTCAGGACTTCAACGGCAGCAGGAAAGCTAATCAGTCACGGTGATTTTGAAAATAACATAACCTGACCAAGTGCCATATAAAGCTCCGACACCGGTCACTCCAAGGGCTGACATGTACGAGTCTAAAGGGCAATGAAAACGTGTTCTCTCATGGAAGGATAAATATGACCAGCTGAGCCATGACGAACAGCGGAGTTTCCTGCGGTGCGCGCTCCAGTTTGGCTGAGCGGTAAGTTAGCTAAGTAGATTAGCTAGCTAGCTAGGTTAGCTACTTTAGCTGGAAACGTAACCCATTAAACCACACGGCTTGTTCACACGATATGTGTGCTTTTTCAACAGGGTTCATTTTTTATGTATTTTTTTGTATTCATATGAACATATGAATGAAACAGTACTCATTTAATGCTAGTTAGCGTCTTTAATATAATGACTAATGTTAGCACTTCAGCTAAGTGGTAATTTTACATTTTTAATGAATTTCATGAGCAGTCATTTGTAGATGTCCATGATCAAAGATCAGTAACAAGTGATTTTGGCTTTTGGACATGTAAAATGTGGACTTATATGCCCTGTATATCTTTAGTTAGAACATTTAAAATGAACAGTTATTGATAAAAAGGAACAAGAGAAATCGCAAACAATCAGTAGCACCATAGTCCCGTGTGACGTCAGGATTCGGCACACCACCTGTCTAAAATGGCTGTCCACTGTGTTTACATACATGAGCTGTGTCCCAATTCAGGGGCTGCATCCTTAGCCTAGTCACATCACAGCGGCACAACTAGGGTATCCCATTTCGAGGGCTTTCCATGGCAACGAAGGGTCCAACGGGTGGATTCTTCGCCAGCTAACATATCCCGAGATTCATTTTGAGAATATGGCGGGATCAGTGGAAGCAAGTAGGAGCAAACGATGGCTGAGGAGACACTTTTAAATGTAAGTATTGAGTTTAAACTGAATCGAATAGCTAATGATACAAATGTTAAAAAAAAGCCAGTGTGGTCTGAAGCAAAACTTATGCTAATGTTTCGTTTTGTTTTAGGGAGCAAGGAGCAGACAGAGGTTTATAAGACTGTGGGGGGGATCTCCAGCTCTAATAAATGAAAAATAAAAAAACTAAAATCAAACTTTGTGGCTTCATCTTCAAAGAAATTTAAAAGAACTTGACAGGTGCGGCATTTTGTGATGCAACGGTAAGGGCGGGAACAGCAGTGCAGACAGTCTCATTATGGTTCAGCCTTCACGGTTCGACACAGCCTTCGAAGGACGCGGTCTACAAAGGCTGCAGCCCCTGAAATGGGACACACCTAAAGTGACGTTCTGTATATTTTTAAGCTTCGCAGTAGGTCATACTTTGCCCTAAACCACTGATAAGTCGCACAGTCTTGATGAAGACAAGGATGCGATTTGTGCAGGTTGAGAGGGATTTTGGGGATGTATTTACAGAAAAGGTTTGGCTGTCTATTCATTTATAGAGTTTGTTAGCCAAGTCTTGGCTGATGAACTGGAGTAAGTGGAAAAGTTGTAAGTATGATTTTTCACTAAAGCATAAGAGGTACAAATGCTCATTCTTTACTCTCTTCATGCTACTGTCCCTCTTACCGGACAGGCCAGCTCCAGTAGCGAGCCTGCAACTTCTGTGCTGTCTGTGTACACACAGTTCTCCCCCTGGTGGTAGACTACAGTGTTGCTATCCCCGTCCTGGCTGAATTCCTGTAGTGCTTCAGGTCCTTTACTGGCCAGTGACTCCAGGAACTCTTTCATGCGGTGCTGGGGGATGCTGCGTGCCTTCACCCTCACCAGCTCCTCAAAAGACACGGAACCCTCCATGCCGTTATTCATGTCTCAGAGGCCTAAAAGACCTGACTGGTCTAAAGTAAAATCACAGTACAGTCAGGTTAAATGACACGATAACAGCAGTTAAGAAAAGCCATCAACCACATTAGACATAGAGGTAATAATCATTAGTGCAAACATTACTAGTAAAAATAAGACTGTACTACAATATAATACTAATAAACAATATTAATATATATACACAACATTCCTAGCATATACCATACATCAGTGTCAGTCATTTTCTGACCCATTTTGTAAACAATTCTGCAAATTCGTGTTATATTTGTCATATGCTTAGAGAAATTAAATTCTTAGTTTACTTCATAGCACAACAGAAAAAAATGAAATAAATACATACAAAATGTAAACAAAGATAATGAAAGGTTGAATTATCTATTATAGTCAAATTCATATAATTTTAATATAAGATTATTTTGAAAAAAATAAATAAATAAACCTATGTATATGCATACATACATACATACACACACACACACACACACACACACAGTCATGGCCCAAATTGTTGGCACCCCTGAAACGTTTCCAGAAAATGAGGTATTTCTCCCGGAAAATTATTGCAGTTACACGTTTTGTTATACACGTTTATTTCCTTTGTGTGTATTGGAATAACACAAAAAAACAGGGAAAAAAGCCAAAAATGATATAATTTCACGCAAAAACTCCAAATAATATATCCAAATAAATATATATGTATTTTGTGTCTCCGTGGAATGTTTGTGTGGTGTATCTTGTCTTTATCCATTATGGTGCTTAAAGTTTCTTTTTCTTTCCCAGTCTGTGGCAAATTATTCAGCAATATGGTGTGATGCAAATATGCAAAATACAAATAAGTCATACAGTACTGTGAAGTATGTATAGGTTAAGTAGTGGTAGACAAAAAAAACTGGTTAAGGACTGAAAACATTTACACATGGTCGGAACCTCTGTTATTTTAGACATACAGAAAACTGGAACTGAATATAAAACTGTAGTAGGTCTCCTTCCACAGACTAGTCTGTTCTCTGCTGAAAGAATGGAGGGGGTGTGACTGCCGTGGCTGGTCGACTTGCTTCTGAGATTTGCACATTTAACGTTACAGTATTAATACAGTATTACTTGCTGAAATCAGATCTTAAGCTTGCTTTAAACAAAAACAGTCGTGGTTTGAGTGTCAGTAAGAGCAAAGTTCTGGTGTGCTTTGGTGGTGCAGTATTTACTGCTCAGTAGTAAACAGCAGTGGCCGTGGAGCACGGAGAATTCTTCTGTTAGCGCGCTACGTTAGCTAAGTTAGTTACCTTTCTTTGACTCGGCCTGGCTGCTCCGCTCTCCACCCACACGGCTTCAAGCAGTCCTCCAGTAGCACAGAAGAAAGCGACTTACTTGGTAAAGCCGACGTCTCGCCTAACTGTGGTTTCACCTCGGATGACAACAATGTTTTTATTTGTTTCTTTATATTTGACTCACGCCTTCTGAGGCGCCATCTTACAACAAACACCCTGCCGACCAATCAGAAAGCGCGTACGACGAGTTCGCGGGCAAATAACGCGAGACTCGGCTTTCATTCATGAAGTGTTTAAAGGGGACGTGCAGTGGAACGAACACGTTTATTGATAACGACCACATTAGTTTCTTTAATGTAAAAAACTTGAACAAGGGCACCAAAGTCATGTTATATAACAGCGAAATGATTATTATAATGTATATTATGATGTTGCTGGAAGAATTAACGAGTACATTCTAGCACTATAATGGTGGTATGTGGTACTCCTACACTCTTAAAAAGATCTACACTGGTTCTTTAGTAAAGAAAATAGGTTTATATGGAACCATGAACACTCAAAAAAGCCTTTGCAGGATTAAAGGGTTCTTTGCATCATGAAAGTGTTCTTCAAATTGATGGAAAATGTGCATAAATGTGCTGTAGATGGTTCTATATAGAACCTTTTCTAGCACACAAAAGGGTTCTTCTATTGTTAAAAGCATGACATCTTAACAGTAGAAGAATACTTTTGGATGCTATATAAAACAATTTTCAAAAAGGTTAAAATATAGAGCCATCTACAGGACACCAGCCATCAATCTGAAGAACACAAACATGATGCAAAGAACTCTTTAATCATGGTTCATGGCTCTTTATAGAACCATTTTCTTTACTAAAGAACCCTTGAAGAAGATCTTTTTAAAGAGTGTATGCTTCTGTCATTTGCACAAGTTCAACTGGATTAAATAAAAGTTTGCCTGTTTCAGTGTGACTTTAGTGTGACCAAGCAGTTTCCTGAATCAAATACGAATAACTTTGAGCATGTTTTTCAAAAGTTATTGACTGCCTAAATGTATCGCGTTGTCTGTTAGTTCCATTATTTGAGACCTGCCTGCTTTATTCTACTGCACATCTACACTAATATTAAACTTTGACTTTGGATGTAGAATATTTTCAAACAGAGAACTTCAGATTGGAAGAGTGGAGGAACATGTAAGTGAACTGACTGAGTTTGGATATTTAGTACATAAAATATGATCAGATATAAATATGAATAGAAGTCTATACTAGTTTTAATAGTCCTTCTAATACCTTGATGTGCTCATGTTCTTTATCCGATTAGAAACTACCATGAAAGGTTCATGTGATAAGAAGAACTCTCTCCCAAATGCAACACAGTGACTTCAGAATGCCGCGGAAGGCCATTTCCTCTTTCCCAAGATGGTTGGAGGTCCATAGAAAGTGGAGAAATGTCAGGACATTAAACAACCAGTCAGCCAAGCTCCCTGTGATTCAGCATGCCCCAGTCAGGGTGCCCATTTTAATGCCAAGCAGGGGTCTTGTACTTACAAACTAGGGACTAAGTTAAAATCCAGTGTGTGCAGCGATAACCTGCGCATGGTGACACAGCTGCAGCTCAGAGATCATTCACCCATACCTACCAGCTAAACTCTGTGATGAGGTAAACAACAGACTGAAGCATCTAAAACTAATGAATGCCATCTCATACTGTTCACAGGGTGTACTCTAGGAACAAATTACTTTTAGAATCCCAAGAAAGATTTAAGCCAAGTAAGAATACATCTTTTGTGCAGGGCTGAAAGTGAATGTATGGACAGAAGAGCTGAGGTGATGGACTCATTTCATTACATTACACATGATAATGATAACTTTATACATCATACAGCTCAAATCAAGACAAAGAATTCCACACTGGAACAGTTCTTTACTGGTCATCTTCACCAGCCCTGTCCCTGTAATCATTAGGAAGACTAAGAAGAAGAGGAAGCCTCTATCCCATTTAGTAAAGTTGCTTTTGAATGTTTTTTGATATCTACATTAAAGTTTGCTAAGCTTTTAATTGCATTTTGAAAACATATACAGAGATATAGTCTGAAACAAAAGATACAGAATTTAGAAGTAATAAAATTTATTCTATGTTTTAGTCCAACATGTTCTGAACCCATTGTGTATTACTATTATTGTTAATATATTTGATCCTCTACTTGTCTGTAGTGATCATCTGTGTTGAAATTCTAGAATTATTAAGTGAATAGGAGACCACCAATCACCACTTTTTATATGAGAGATCGAAGATGTTGAGAAAGAGGCCCCGATGAAAAACTGACCTGTATATTAATAATAAAGTAAATGGTTGTTTTCCTCTATAAATTATAATTTGTCTTGTGTCATCTCAATTTTTATACAGTTTGTTTGACTCAACGTAAAATATACATTTTAAATGAACAATATAGGTTTTATTCAGAATATTTCATGGAAATGTTCTTCGTTCAATGCATCAGAAAATATTAAGAAAGTGAAGCTTCTCATATGTGCATTTGTCCTACACAAACATTGTTTTCAAAAATAATTTAACTGGTTTATAATAATTGAAACATAAAGCAAGTTCGCAATTCGTGGCACCAGGGGTGGAAAAAGTTCTGAGAAATTTTATTTAAATCAAAGTATGGATACTGTGTCAACCTCTTACTCAAAGTGGATGTGTGGAGCCCAAAATATACTTGAGTGAAAGCCAAAAGGTACCTATGTATCTAC